CACGCTGCCCGTGACAGCTTTGTGTTGCTAATTGTGGGGGGCCAGGTGCTGAATTGGTTTTCGTCTGGCAGAGCTCGTTCCATTGATCCAAATTGGTTTTTGTCTCTTCTCGAATCGGGCAGACCATGGCAAACCTGGCCTTGCCCGAGAGCTCTCCTCAGCTGGGACACATTTTCGCAGGTTGGCTTGGGCTTTAGACTCACACAGCTCTGAAGTTTCATGTCCAGCACGTCACACTGCTCACGCTGTTCATACTGTTCACACAGCACGCCCTGAAATCTAAGTCACCAGCTGCCTATCAGCCTCAACTCCTCGCCCTGGAAGCGTTGAGCTCACTCTGCACAGCACAAAGTGCTTCCACACACAGAACCGAAAGAGGTGCGGTCTCGGTGCCTTCTTGCGACGCTTCCATAGCCAGATTGCTATTGCCTTAGGCCGCTTGCTGCCCTGAAAACTGTTTACTCTTCTGCTAGGCTTCAAGGTTGGAGTGCTCGTGTCAAAGAATGTGCGAGTAGAATGCTCGAAAAGAAGCAGGCCTGGAAAGCTCTTGGACAAACTTAGATTGAGGTTCTGAAGCAGCGCGTTGCAAGCCCTGGACTAGGTGCAGTTTTGAGTTTGCATGAGTTCCCTGTTCTTCATCGTTTGGTCGGACAAAGCCCAAGGCAACCTGAGGCAGCCCGAAACTCTGTAGGGGCACAGCGCCCCTTCACATTATGTGGATTCAGACGTGCAAGATAGTGCAAGTGGAAGCGAAAGTGAGAGGTTTAAGGCGTAGCGCATCCTGATCATCATTTAGTGTCTGGTGTGTGTGTGTGTGTGTGCGTCGTAATTTCCCAGGCCTGCCATCCCCAGCAGTTTTGAAACGGATGCGGTGCTGAGCCGGGCAGTATCTGCACGCACGTTCATGCATTGCCCCGAAGGGGCACACGCTCATGGGGGTTTTCAAAAAGCCATGCGCATCACAGCTGGCGACAGACTGATGCCTACGAGTGGGACGAGTGGGAAGTCGCACTGCAGCAAATACAAGGTCCGTCTGCATTCACCAAAAACACACAGAGAACAAAAGGGACAAACACAGAGGGGGTTGGTTCCTACAATGTCTAGCAATGGCAACGGCACAGACTAAGCCCCGCACGGCAAACATCAAGAACGCGCCGAAGAAGATCACCAACCAAGCAAGGTTGTTGACCTGACGGATGTGGGATGGGCTTGCAGGTATTCACACGAGGGATTTTGCCAACACATCTTGCAGTTGAAACCACTCAATGCCGAGTGAAGGGCTGCTTGGACTGTTGGGGTCCAGCGCAGAATAGACCTGGAGAGTCTGGGGGCATCAATGCTCGTTACATGGGACAGCGACCCGGGGGCCAGGCGGTTGCCAGTGGAAGTGTTCGGTAGTCACTGCCCAGATGGCGTAGGCTGCAGGCGGGGCCAATGCAATGGAAGCAAGTGACATCCCTGCTCACACCGCACATGAGCGCAATGACAACCAGCAGCCTGCCACAGGCAAAGCAAAAACTTGTGCTTGGCGCAGCGTCGCTGGCAGGTAGTAGGACACGTACGCTGCCTGCCGGAGAGCTCCGAATGGCTTGAACTGCACAACCTGCTGCCTCCGGCTCCATGCGTTTGTCCTGCTGAGCAGCGCTTTCTTACCCAAGCAAACCAATGTATGAGAAGATCTGTCATGTGAAGCTCTGATATGGGGATGAATAGTTTTCCATCTTTATGGGTTGGGACGAAAGCCCTGCACCTACGAAGTCAACACCGCCAAAGCCAATAAGAACGACAAGGACTCCGATTCTTGCCCTGGCATCTTGAGAAGCTCAAAAGCTGCCTCCACACGCGGATCACGAAAGCGGAGCAAGAAGGTCAGCCGAGCATCGCGTCGCTGGTCCTTCGCGTGGCGGGGTTGCAAAGCACGGAGCAGACACAACCCTTTGAACCGAACAAGACATCGTTGACGCTTACTATGCCCAGCTTCAGCTGCAGAGAATTGCGGCAACGCTCAACCCGCAACATCGAAACTGCAACAGAGCTGCCATGATCTGCTATGTGTGCACGCTGGATATTGCATGTTGGCCATTGTTGCGTGTTTTTTGGACATGGAGCGCTGAGAGGCGAAGGATCGTTTGTTCTTGGACATCGGCGTGGTGTGTCCTGGAAGAGCTCATCCAACCACGTGTGGAAGCCCAGAAGCTCCTCGCTCGAGTTTTCCAACTGCCCTGCAGCGCAGAGTGCACACATGCGAGTCAACCGAGGTATCAAGAGTTCTCTGTATGTCTGAGGCGCCGCCGTGTCCTGAACATGCTAAACGCATGAGGCGCCCTTCTTGTTTCCGAGAGCAGACTTTTGCCACCCAGGCCGTGCAACACGGCAGGCCTTGAGCCATCTGGGGAGGCTCGTCTCCCTCACTGTCAAACACCACGTGAAACATTAGATAACATTACCCAACTTACAGAAGCTTTCCGTGTGCAGCTGCCTGAAGTGATGTAACACTAGGCAATCCTGCAAAAATATGGGATCCATTCTCCAAATAACGAGTATTCACGAGTGGCCAGAAGCTGAGGGGTGCATGTGCTAGCCTCTGACGTCTAAATATGTCTGCTTTGTGTTTTGGTCCAACAGCATCCATGCATGCACCTCAAGTTAAAAGCCCTTTATAGGAGGAATCTGTCAAGAGCGATGACATCCAGCACGAGAGGTGTCTTGAAAATCCTCACCATGCAGACTTGGTCTGGAATGTCTGGATCTCATCTCTTGCCAAAGCTAACCCTTACAAGCCTTACAATCTGGGAGAACAACTGCTGCCTCATCCGGTGCAAAAGGTCCGCCACTTAAGCCGTGAGCAGACATCCCGGGAGCATGTTGTGCTCGATGGGCCTCGCAACTCCGCTTACTTCACCGGCACCGGTGGCGTTCGCTCCTCAAGGCTGGGCGCCGTTGGCGTTGCATGCACCGCTCTGGCGGCCAGTGTGTCTGGCACTTCCTCCCATCCAGGTCGCCGAGCCACGGCCGCCTCACATCTTGCTTTCACACGACGCTGCACACGTGACCCTAAAGCCGCCGGATTAACGGGATGTGATCAAATGTACCGTAATATACCGATATCGCCGATGGAACACTAGCAAGGAGGGCCCGGGGTTAAGAACAGCTCGCGGCTGTCGCGCTTGAATCTCTTGGATTGATCCGATAGGTGAACTGACAGGAGGCTTAAAGCAGCTACGTGTTTAATATATTACACCTTTTTAGCTGGATCCTCACAACACAAATAGTGACCCCAGCTATAGCATACTTCCACGCCAGAACATTGGGACGGAAGAGGCGAATCAAGAATGGCCTGACCGGTCCAGCAACAGAGACCAGCACAGGCTTACACAGATGTGCAAAACATTCACAGACCGTCGTAGATCGCAGACCATCGACAACACAAAGCTGGACACACGAAAAGATGATGGCCACAAAGAGCCAGAACTCAGTGTCACTGCTGGCCTTCTCCAAAGAGGCCTTGGCCCCGTCACTTCCATACAGAAATGCAATGAATTCGTTCAAGTCGATGGAACCACTCCTCACCCGGGCTTGGATTTCGAAAAAAAATCTGAAAAGTCTATCATGGCTTGACTATCATGGCCAGGGCATATACAGGACCAGGGTACCAGTTTAGCACGCAAGATCTAACCTCTGATCGACTACAGAATCACATACGTAGGACAACCCGACAACCCGACAACACCATCTCAACGGACCCCACCCACATTGGAGGCACCGTTCAGGCCAACCCAAGTGATCACACAGGGATGGCATGCAGACGGGCTTCCTGTCGGTGTCCAACTCGCTGAATATGTTCTGTAAGCACTCCTCGGTAATGTGCGGTATTGCCTTTTGCAAAACGCTTGTGATCTCCGCTCGGGTCAGCTTGCCGCTGTCATCCGTGTCCCAAATCCGGAAGGTTGCGGAAACTGCACTTGCTGGCGAGGACACGTTTTTCGTGAGCCTTGCCGCCAGCTGCTTTTGTTTGTCAGACAGCAACCAGGTATTAAACTCTGCGAAGCTGACCTTTCCGTCCATGTCCGCGTCCATAGACTTGTGCATCTCTTCTACCTCTTTGAGAGACATTTCTGGAGTTATTCGTCGCAGCATCAACCCGAGTTCGGACTTGCTGATAGTGCCACTTCCATCCTTGTCAGCAGCCTTGAAGTTGTGCTGGATTATCAAGGTACGCACCGTGTCAGCACTTTTGGCAGCCATAGGCGGTGGGAACCATTGAGACTCGCCCGTCTCCGAGTTCCAATAATAAGTACGACCAGCCTGATCTTGCTTCTCGGCCCACCCAGCTGGCAGCTTTAAAACCAGCTTTGACGGTCCCTTTGCCGTTTGCTTGGCTCCCTTGGCCAGACTGGACATTCCTCTGCTTCTATGAGGTGAACAACCCGATGCTGACCTTGTGGTCTCTTAGCGTTTACGTTTGAGCCACGAGATGCGCAGGCCGCACCGCTCAACGTGATAATGCTTTAACTAGTATAGGCAGTGCTCCACATGACCATGCCTCTAGTCTTGTTCAATGTGTTCAGCTGTGCTGCAGCTGCAGATACTAGCGGTGCAGTAGGGACAAGTCGGCCTGTTGTACTTTGACGCAGCAATCCACCTCAGCGATGAGATCTCTGGGACGTCATGATTCACAACATGCTTCGATCAAAAACGTCTGCCGACAGGCAGATTGTCTGTTCGGGATCGCACAAGGCACAGTTAAAACCCTGAGGAAAACGATGTCTTGGCGCTGACCAGCTGATGAGCTGCACCCAAAACACACACGTGTGCAGTGCATGCACGTTCGAACTGCACAGCTGTGATACCGAACGACCCCACACCTAAGTAACTGTCATTTTCCGGGATTCCGACGCCCAGGCCCATCTTCTGCCAAGGAGTCCTCGTCCTCCTCCTTTCAAGGGACATTTCTTTTTGTTGTCTAAGACACTGGATTCTCCGAGAGGAAACATTCCAGCCTCCTCCTCTTCAAGGTCGTCCAGGCGGTTCATCAGATCTGAAGCATCCTCCGAATGGCAGCGGGGCAGATGGAGGTGCACATTGGGACTTAACCAGCAAAGTCCGGCAAATCTGATGCCGATGCTCACGAGGTTCCCAGCCTCTGGCTCCAGCTCCTGCTGTTCGTCGCAGGCATCGCCTGGAATGCAAGAGCGAGGTGCAGACCGGAACGAGTACCGCGTCCAGAGCCTCTTGAATAAAGCAACTAAAGCAAGAACACAGAAACATACTATTGAAACACCTTGTCATATGTGGATTCTCCCTCTGTGTCCTTCCTAGTTTGCCTATCTGCCTGTGATGGGCATGTGTCAACTGATTGCAATGTAGTAGAACAAGACTATGAAGAAAAAAAACAGGAGCCAAAGGTAGATTGTAGCACTTTCGAACCCGCCTTGTTCGGCCTCGAGCTCTCTCGTGCGGTTTCGGACCTGAGAGGCCATTCCGAGACATTCCGGGTCGCTAGGCACAAAGCAGCAAAAAGAAGAATGTCTCAGAATCTATCTGAGAATATGAATACATTGAATACATTGAATACCCTGCACCCATGAGAGGATGGCCAGCCCACGGGCCACAGCAGACGAAGGCCGTTCACTACCTTGCAAGTCTGGTTGGCCCTACGCAGGACAACCGGCACTGCACCTTCTGCTACATCGCTTTGACAACCAAAGACCGAGGGCAGGGCTACGGTAACTTCGGGTCAGGTACGCCCTGACAGAGCGAACGTGCGACTGCCCATGACGGAGCCATGGGAGTTCCATGCACTCCATAGGTGGTAAATTGGCAGCGTGCAGAAGTAGCTCACTCCAGTGACTCACTGAGCAGCTAGCCGAAATCTCGAAAACGAGATTTCGCCCTCACCACCAGAGACGTCATACATGACCTGCAGCGTGTGGGCATGCTGTTGGTTCATGCCTCCGCGCATGACCAGAAGCATGGAGCCTCATCCACCGTCTGTCCATCCGGAAGGACATCTGCTACCAAGGCACCCTCGCCTGACATAGCTTTCCAGCAGCAAGCATTAGCAGTCTATGCACTCCATGATCTTCAGTGTCCCCCCACCACACCTGACAGGAGTTGTCTAAGCTCCGGCATGGAGATGTAGCCATCGCCATCCAAATCGAAAGTGCTGAACCTAACATCTGGGACATGCACAGATGAACACGCCTGACGTTTTTTGAGCACGATCAAGGTCTTTTTTGCACACCGGCGCATCGCTGTGTTGTCACATGCGCATCTACACCTATCCACGTATACACATATACGCATATACACACCTATACACACATACACACCTATACAAATATACATATGCACATATACACATACTAGTCACCGGCCCGTGCTTCGCATGAACGTAGCATCGGCTGAAGGTCTAAAGCTTGGGGCATGTGGTCACAGCCCAGTTCCGAAAGCTTAGGGCTTAGGAACTCAGGGCTCATGGTGGGGGCCCCAAGACCACGTGCAAGATTGGAAGCCCTAAGCTGGCCCCCCAGCACATGGATTGAGGTGGGCTGTACATGTACATATCTATAAAATGGATGCATGTATGCAAGTGAGCACACATACATGTACATATCTACATGCATACATATCTATATATATATATATATATATATATATTGTATTTGTATTTATATTGATATTTATATGACATACACTAAGTGTCAGTCAAGCTGACCCAGGACCAGTATTTGCCCCGGCCCAGCCTATCTTTTCAGCACAGGGGATCGTCAGGCAGATGCGCTTAAACTCGATTGGTTAGATGGGTGCAGGCCCTGCTAAACTCAAGCACAGACAAGGCGCGCGTATCGCATCAACCGCTCCCCACGCTCCTGTCATCTGCAGGATATTCCACGTCATGGGCAAATCTCTACGTGTAATTAAACCAGTCATGCCTCGTCTAGACACAAGGTCGCTGCCAGGAACTCCGTGTACGAGATCTGGCCATCCTGGCAGAGGCACTGACAATTCAAGTGCGCGCAGGGCGCCGTGCCAGCGTTTGGTGTCGGAGTGTAGGGGGGTCCTGGTCAAGGTCCATGGCTGCCATGAGACCACTTGGATCCTCCGAGTCTGGAGCACTCTGCAAAAAGTGCCGAGGCAGCAAGGCACTGTAACATGCTGTAACTGCATAGCTGCACAGCTGGAAACAAAACCCGAGAACTGTGAACAAGGGAAGCCAAATGAAGCCAAGGTCCTGTCGCAGCCCCAACCTTGCCAAACCAGCTTTCAGCTCTTCGGTGTCCAGTTGGCCCGACTTGTCTGTGTCAAAGTTTTCGAAAAGCCGTGTGTCCCGGGCAAGGTCTTTCATGCCCAGCGCAGCTGCCATGCAGAAAGTCACCTTGCCCGTTGCAAAATGCAGCAGCGGGCTTCGGCAGTGGCTACTCGGCTACTCAAACTCTCGCACTACCTGGTATACACTTAGGACCGGGCAGCTCGGTAGAAGTAGCTTGTTGGGCGGCCGAGGCCCTCTGGCATCTGCAGGTGCGAGTCCAAGCTGTCAAGAGTGTCAAGGAGCCACTCATGATCAAAACACTGTCTCGCCGAAATTCGAGCTTGTGGATCTTTCGCCATCAAGGCGCGTACAAGAGATCGCGGAGCTTCGGGAACTTTATCGAAAGCAGGCTCATTGTTCGCGACTTGGCAATACAGCACAAAAATGTTGTTGGTTCCTCGGAACGGTCTGGCGCCCACAAGCATCTCATATAGCATCACCCCTAAGGCCCATGTGTCCGACTTCTGAGTCAGCTTACCATCAAACCCTTCAGGTGAGAGGTAGGCTGGGCTTCCCTTGACAGTTGCAGGCCCACCCAGCGCGGCCTGCTCATCAAAAATCTCTGCTAGGCCAAAGTCCACTAGCAGCACGTGCGGGTGCGAACCCTCAACGGCGTCTTCCATGCTGAATGGAGTCAAGAGCATCGTGTTTCCGGGCTTCAGATCACAGTGGATGACGCCCCGAGAGTGCATGTAGTCCAACGCGGACGCCACTTGGACGGCCGTCTCCCGCACCCATTGCTGTGGCAGCAGTGTCTCTGCATCCACCGTCTCTCGGATCACGGAAGCTAAATCACCGCCCTCCGCGTAGTCCATGACGATGTGCAGGCTCTCCTCACTCTCAAAGGCCTTCAATCCGAGGGCACCAAGAAGAGAGTCAAAGAGCACAAGTCTCCTACATTCACCTACCCCCTGCCCCACAGCCGCTCTGCGCCTCAAAGACACGCACAATGTGTGGATGATCCAAAGACTTGAGCATATTTACCTGAGCGATTGGTTTCGATTCCTCGTCCTCTCAGCTGATCACAGCAGCCATGATGCCTCATCTTCAACTTGCTCGCCAGCCACGCTCAGCTGGCTCTTCGGCACCTGTAAATTCAGGAGCATCGTAAACATTCAAAGCAAAGGATACACTTCAGGACATGCGATGCTCAGGGCTAAACAGACTTCACCACGCGTGCTACACCTGAGGTGCTGATCTTGGGACAACACATGCAGCCGCATGCTCTTTGCAAGGAGCTGGCCCAAGGAGGCGTGAAGAGCCAGGAACACTTCCCCGTAGGAGCCCTCAACGTAGCTTCAGGTAGAATCATGCAAAGAAGCATCTTCATTTCTGACATCAGAATCCGAATCTTTCATGCCTCGCCAAGCTTGGCCCCCTTCAGGTAGACCTGCGACACAGAAATCCCACCCCAGGCCCCCCTCCAGCTCCCGCTTGAATCCGTTTCGTGTTTGAACGCCGAACGCAGAGGGCGTGTAAGGGAGCTTGCGGTCACGTAAATGCCCTCTTTCAGTTTAGACCAGGCTTGACCTCACAGAGAACTTGAGAAGCTCTGTTGCTTCATCGAGGCTGATGGTGTGCAGCTGCTGCCGAGCGATGCGACTGTCTGGCAGGAACTGTGAAGGTCTGACTTTGACAGCAGAACACCTCCAAGAATTACTCTTCTGTCTGCGACGGGGAAACGAGCGTGCCCAGCTCATGAAACAGGTCCCCTCATCGGGACTAGAATTGAAAATTGAGAACTGACAACACAACCATCGGTTGCCTTGCTCCAGTCATCGCCATGCCGGGTATGCACCAAGCACTGCCGGGAAACCTGACACCAAAGATTCAGAGCGCGATATACACTGCTCACAAGGGGCGGGCAGCGTGACCACCAAGTACCAAGCATGACGAAAAACCATCGAAAAACCTCCCCTGTCATATCGTGATGTCACTGGCTCTCACTGGCTCTCACATTTTCTTGGCTCGAGGTTGCTAGCGAGCAACTGCGCACGCGCTGAAACCGAATGGCAATGCCATAGACCGGCTTCTATCGACGTCGCTTGATTTACCTCCTTTATCTTCATGTTAGCGCTATAGGCCGGCCTGCAAACCAACGCAACCCTGCCACAGGCTTCTTGAAAGCCGTGGAGATGGGCAGCTCTTCTGCTCGCGACTACTTGCAGGTATTGTACTAACTATGCATGTACATCTTCGAGCTCTAGGACCAAGCCTAGTCCTCGATGGTGTAGGACCCGTGAGACAGTGAAACAAGAGCACTGCATTCCGAGCATTCCGAGCACTGCATTCCATGCTCATTCGAGGACAGGCATGCAGCCACTCAGGCTTCCTGAGCTGTGCAGACGTGGCGGCTGTGAACTTTGGACTGAACCAGCAATGCGCGCCAGAACTGTGTTTTTTCAAACTCTCACTGCTGAAAAGCTTCTGAATTGATGTGGATGCTCCTCTTGCTGAGCTTTTCCTGAGTGACTGCATTTCCATCGATATGATCGCTTCTCGATGCTGGGGACGGCAGCTCTTGCAGCATACTGCCCGCTGAGAGTCAATGTCCTTTTCAAGTTGCGACAGTTCAGCCTCATGCTTCTCCTTCCGCTTCAACTTGCCCATGGTGTCCTTAAGCTCGAATGATGAAGAAGCTGAATCTACTCAGTTCCTCCAGCAGCTGCGGTGAGAAAACTGGCGCCCACGCCAAGTTTGTCACGTGTGTGCCGCCCTGATAGGCAGTGTTCACCTGGCGGAGCCAGGCCGTTCGAAGCTACGCTGCCACACTTGCCATGCCTAGCCAGACGGCCTAAACCCTTTTTGTTGTTGTAAGAGAAGAACAGAGAGAGCAGAGGTACCTGCTCCCACTTGGCTTTGAGCCCCTCCAGAAGGCTCTGCCGCTCCTCCTCTGTCATCGGCCGGACTCTCTCAGCCTCCCATATGCTCTTCAGATCATCACAGCATTACACATGTCAGCACTCCACTCAATCTACCGAAACTGAGTCTCAGTATGGTGTTCAGGCATGCAGATGCAACCTCGAACATCTACAGTTTCGATCGTGTTTCGGCCTCCGCCTGCTCTTGCTGCTCTTGGAGCGCCCTGATCGACAAGGTCAAGTTCTCTTACATTCGACCGTCCGACCTGTTTGTAGCTGCTTGGCAGAGAAGCCCAGATCACAGCCGGCCTGATGTACTGATACTCCGCCTCGATGTCCTTGTATAAGGTACACGGGTCACACACACACACAGACACACAGAGCACGGGCCAGAGGCAAACTAAAGACAGAAAGGCCGAGTAAGTCCTGCTTGATGTTCTGCAGGTACTTGGGCACCTTTCCGTAGTCTTCCTTCTTGAGATAGTCCTGCAAAGGTGGAAGGTTTCGACTCAGCACGGCCTAACTACATCCATAGGCTGGAAGGCCTTGGTGCCTTCGGATAAGCAAACTTAAATACCAGCAATGCTCAGAATGCTCTCGTTTTCTGAGAAGACGAAAGAGGGCGGTCCTTGGTGCCCTCCGGCACCTTCTTCGGAGCGGCCAGGATCACCTCTACGGCATTGGCAACCTGGTGACAGGGTTCAGCATCCAGAGCCACGACACTTCAAGGCCTCTTAGCGGGCTCTTTCAAGCAAGGGACAATGAAGTTCTTGCTGGTCACCAAATTCATTACTGGATGCTCGGAGGCTTTAGGAACTCCTCCACGTGTTTGTTCCTTCCTGAGCCCACCGCTGCTGCAGGCACATCGCGTGGAACACGCCAACACTAAACCACAACTCGAAACAGCGAAGATTAGCCAGGAAGCAGCTGCTTCGGAAGCAAGGCTTCCGGATGCTCTTTCTTCATTTCTTTCAATGAAAGCACCTGGCGCTGCATCGACACCCTGCGGACGTTTCAAAAAAAGAGCTCCGAAACTGCTCTTCAACTTGTACCTCGCCCCGCCTTGCCCCCAGTCTTTTCGCTCTTTTTCAAGAAGCTGGACGGGTCATCGCCTAAGCGCTGAGCCACTAGGCACAATGAGGCTTCATATGGCTCCATACTGCCTCATTGCTCAAAGCAAAGGCACAGTAGTGACCCTTGGGCTTGCCAAAAGACGAATGGGACTTGTCCGCAACTGGCCTAAGTCCCCCAGCATGTTTCCATGGAAAGCACGTCAAGAAGCACAGCTTGACCAGTAGGCGCAGGTCTTTTTGTCTAGGCCGCCGCCGATGTTGGCTACCTCGTCATGCGATTGTCGGCAAACTTTGCAGGAAGTAGCGTGTGAAACTGCTTCCCTTCCTAGAAATTTATTCTGACAGCGGCGTGTGCTGAGGAATTGACGTTTGGACAAGTTGTCCCCTTGGCCGCAAATGTGGATGCCGTCGGAGGAAGGTCTGAAGAGTGCCTTTGTTCAGGTTGAATGTGTTCTTCGTATTGGATCAGATGTGACACAATGCATCGTGATGAGGATTGTGGTGGGAGGATACTGCGCTCCTTTGACAAAGTAATACCACATGCAGGCAAGGCTCTTAGACTTGTACATCGGTGGACGCTCCTGGTCACTTCGCGGAGATTGTCGGAGATTTGAATCGGGAACATGAACAAGTCCAAACCAGCATGCAGACACTGCCTCACCTGGACTCAAAATGCTCGACTTTGTTTGACGACTCATGACTCTCTCTTTCTCTCGCTAAATATGTTTTCTTTCTTTATCCATCTCTTTCTTTCCTTCTTTCGTTATGTAGTTGTTTATTTATTTATTTCTTTCTTTCTTAATTTCTTCATTTCATGTGTTGCATGTCTTTCGATATTTCCTTATTTTTTCATGCAAATATCTGCTGCATTCTTTATTCCTTTATTGTTCTTGATGGTTTTGTTCCTTGTTTATTGACTATGATTTTCACGTTTTGTGTTTGCTTTGGTTTGCCTATTTATTTGTCGTTTCGTGCTTTTTATGTGTTTTTTCGCTGTATTTCTGCATTGTGACAAAAACACCAATGGGCAACCGGTCACTACGCCCCGACCAGGGAAGCGGCTCCCCTGGCCTGTACGACAGCTTTCGGCGGGATGATGTTGTAGATTGACTCCTGGTGCATCCTGAGTACAAAAACAGCAGCTTCTAGGATGCAGAAGTGGCACTTCACCTGGCCCCTCACGGTGAGAAGTTCTTAGTGCACGCCAGGTTGCATCAGCATTTTGACAGAAGCTGTTGTGGAAAAAAACTGCCCAGTGCTCAAACCGATACCATAACAAGAGCTGTGTTCGAGCCAAAAACCACAGCACAGCACAGCACAGCACAGCACAGCACTTCCAAGCTTCGGCCTGACAATATTTCAAAGTCTGCTTCTCCACACAAGCTTCTACAGGGAATTTTGCAGGAAGCCCTCGGGACCCCTTCTCCCGGCCTTGGAGTAGCCACACCGAGTTCTCAAGGCCTGTAGCCAGTTGTCGAAGGCAGCGGCCTCAATTCTTGCATTTTCAATGCACTGGAGGAGCAAAATGGAATCTGCAGAGACCTTTTTCGCTTGGATCCGGAGGCACATGCGGCACCACTGAGGCACCTGAAGCCTGTTTCATTATCCTGCGAAACGGATTATGCAACGAGAGACATGGCCTCCCGCGCTCAGGAACGATTATGCTGCTTCGGGTACTTCGTCCTTCGATCTCTGCATCTCGCCTTACGGCCACAAACGTATACAATATACAATAGAATCCAAAAGGCAGGCTGATGTCTAATGGCCCAGCCAGTGAGCAGCGTTCTGAACAGGTGTTGAGTCTTGCTAGGCGCTTGTCGAGTCACTGTCCTTGGTCAGGCGCAGGAGAAGCTCCGGGAGGGCCGCGCCGATCAGTCCCGCCAGGACAAAGGTGGTCCCTGCGGGAGCTCCTCGAATCGAGACCACAACTCACGAACCAAGCTCACTGGCACGGGCGCCAGTACTACTTCAGTCACCACAGCAGCGTGGGTCAAAAAAAGGCTTGGCACCCATGAGAAAAAAGGCTTGGCACCCATGAGATGCCTGAAAAGAGCGGCAGAAGGATTTGAAAGGAGAAGCTTAGCTACTGCACTCGACAGCGAAGAAGATGCAGACATACCAATTTCCAAGCTGTGCTCCAGTCCGCTTGCACCAGGAATAGTAGTTTCCATAGAGCACCTCAATGTGGGTCGCGAATGCATGTCTGACTCGGTACTGCTTTACAACATCCATGCGCACTGAAGGCTGAAGTCACTTGTTCAGACAGGGTGCAGTTGCAATCGCGCCAGCCAGAGCACGCAAGTTGTTGGTCCAGGCAGCAAATTCGCCTGAAACTCACAGAACATTTTTTAAAAAAATCTCCCAATGCAATGCACGGGCGCTCTGTCCCGATCCCCACCTTTGCCGAAGCCTTCGGAGGTGGCCAGGTCTGTGCTTATGGATTTCAAGGCAGTAGCGCTCGCACCGTTGACGCCCGGTAGCCTTGGAACAATGAGAATTACTTTTCCAGCTCCTCCCTACACTGCCTTCCACGTCAATGCGAACCTGATTGGGTTCGATGTCTAAACGCATGCAGGCGTGTTTCTCTGATTGGCTAGAAATGTCTGGAATGCTGCCATCGAACATTGGAATGACCGCCAGCAGAAAGATCCAGGACTGTTCTCTCGCGCCGCGCACCAGAAACCCAAAAAGGTTTAGCAGATTCGTGGCCTGGGTTGATGTCAGCTATCGGCGCTCTGAGCAATCTGAGGTCGCCGACACAACGAAAACCTCTTGATGGCCGACCCTTCTGTCAGAACCGCGTTGCGGATGTGAAGCCGCGGGCGGTGAGATTCTTAAGGAAGTACGGCGTGACATAGACCCCAGAAAGGATGCTCAGCGTGCCGTAGATCATCACATAGTTACGGCTTCCCTCCACAGTCCACTTGAGATGTTCCCGCTTCCAGAGCTCTACCAGGTCGCTCAAATTCTTCCCCTCCAGGAACATCTGCAAGGTTTGGATGCAAATCATCTTCTGGAGGCCAGTGGACCCCCGCCGAAAGATGTTCCTCGACTGCACGTGCCAGATGCGACTGCATGCGTGCCTTCTCTCTCTGCTCCATTCACTCTGCTCCTACTCCATGCAGCGCAGCGGCAAGAAGCCAAATGGATTGATGGACGATAGCCTCAGATAAATGCTTTGGAGCCCTCTTGTGCACGGACTTTTGCACAATGGACATTTTTGTCGCCCAGACACTGCATGGCAGATGCGAGGGTCTTGCGCTGTGCCCGCCGAAGTGTTTCGGGCACAGACAGCCCCACGAATGCTGCGTGCACCTTGCTACCAACCTAGTTATTGGGACAAATTTTCACGGCTTGAGAAGCTCGAATATGTTGAGGCACGAACGCATCCGAGCATTGACAACCTGAACTGGCGAAAATGACACTTGCAGCTAGCTGCAAGATGCAAGTGTCCGCGTGAGGTGACTCGTTGCATGCAAGCCAAGTGTAAGTGACCTGTTGAGCTGAGCAGCAATAGGTATGCTGTTCGCGGGCTGTTGGATCTTTGCAGGAACAGGGCCTCCTGCAAAGGACAAGCACGTTGGAAATACAACGCAACCAGTCAAGAGTTAGACAGCATTTCAGAGCAACGCGGGTCCACAAACGGAGTGATAACAATGCCAGCGCCAACAGCAGCCCCTTGCATGCAGCAAGAACGTGCATTTTAAAGATGTCAGTCAAGATGATGGTTTCGACATGTTCGCGCGCTGACCCTGCCGAGGTGCCCATTTTGCTGATGGCAGCACCGAGCTCGGCACCCTGGGCCACGTCTGACCTGAGCTCCGACGGTTGGGCACGGGCAGGGGCCCACACACCCTCCACCCTTACCTTTGGGAGCCAGAAAGGATCATGATGCAATGTAAAAAAGACGTACTTGGCATGAAACGAGAATGAAGAATCAGAGGCCATGTGAACACAACGACAATACAGGCAACCCAGGCTATACAGGTATGCTGCGGATTTGTGGTGCTGCCATTTCTTGCTCATTCATGTACACGTACATGCACACAAGTAAATGCATACATGCAGGTACGCATGCATGCTTGCAACTCTCATGCCCACATGCCGTCAACGTGCATACATGCATATACATACCTACCTACACAGACAGAGAGAGGAGAGAGAGACAGACAGACAGACATACATACCGTACCGTATCATACCGTACCATACCATACCATACCATACATAACAGTACATAACGCAACAAAACATTACATAACATTGCATAACAGTCCATAACACTACATACGAGAAACACTACATGTACATAGCATTACATAACATTACATAACATCACATAGCATTACATAACATTACATAACATTACATAACATTTCATAACACTACATACGAGAAACACTAACATTGCATAACATTACATAACATTACATAACATTACATAACATTACATAATATTGCATAACATTACATAACATTACATAACATTAACATTAACATTACATTGCAGAACATTGCAGAACATTGCAGAACATTGCAGAACATTGCAGAACATTGCAGAACATTACATGACACTACACAACATGAAACAACATGACACAATATTACACAACATTACACACATTGCACAACAATACACAACAGTGCATACCATTGCCTAGCCTTACGTAGCAGTACATAACATTGTGTAACAGCAAATAACATTATGTGCAACACTACGTAACATGACATACATTACATTTTCATTTCCTAGTCACCTTAGCGTCTCAGGCGCTGTGATGCATGAATTGTGTCACTTCGACTCTTGATTATTACGGTTGCAGCCCTATTCCAGAAGAGCCGTAGTGCAAGCTGCGAGCTCATGCAACAAACCAAATTGTTCATGTTTATCTTGCTTTGTGCACATCCCGGTCAACTTCGTAGAGGCTGCATATGCTCACGGCATCCTGGACGGAAGTCGAAGCCGAGGCACAGCGCAGCAGTGAGCATGACAGTGCTGGAGAAGGTGGTGAGGATTGCCCTCAAGACCCGCAGTGGCCTCGCTATATATGCTGTCTCGGCCCTGTCGTCCCCATTGAACATGGCTTCACTAAGCGGCGGGCAAGACCAACTGGCGCTTGTGCGAGTTTCGATAGATTAGCAGACCTGCAAGATGTTCAGACAAATGCAAAGCTTTATGACCCGCTGTGGCTGATGCGATCCAAGCAGCCGAACAAGATGTTGGCTACAGGACCGAGAGCAAGAAACTGCTTCCGCCCGAGTGCGTCAGAGAATTTGCCACCAATCCTCAGGCCAACAACCAGGAATTCTCTCTTTCTTGCGCAGAGCTGCTGGTATTCGGCGGCAATGAGCCTGGGTGCATTCATAGTCTCTGGTTTATGATAATGCCGAGCACGCCAACCAAACCTTGCGTGTTGGCCAGCATCCTTGCAGTGAGCCCGATGTCGCCTCCTGCGAGCTCCTGCATGCAAACCATGCGAGTATACGCCAGCGACACTGACCATCACTGAAAGCGTTCAAACCGTCGAAAGTCAAGACGGGTGCAGGAGGCTTGGACATGTCCTTGATGAGCAGAGGCTCCGACTGAATGGTGATGACCGTCTGCGCCACGCTGAGGAACCCTGAAATGTACAGGTTCCGCATGGCAGTCTTCCTGGAATCTTGCTCAAGGGCATTCTGATGCACCTTGCTAGCTCTGCTAGCTGCTAGTAAAAAAAGACATCCGCCAAAGCCACAAACATGTATTTATATATACGTATACATATACATATACATATACATATGCATATACATATACATATACATATACATATACATATACATATACATATACATATACATATACATATACATATACATATATATGTGCTCGACCACAGATCGTTCAAATCTTGCCATCAAACGTGGAGAAGAAAACCAGGCTGACCCTGTAACAAAAGCCTCGATCACCCAGCCCCTAGATTTTGCTTTTCACTATCAGGGCACTTCTCTGCAACTTGCTCCTCCTTGGAATTTGCCATGGCGACAGATGCGGTGGAACGTCAGATACCCAACTGGTATAACAGTCAAACAGTCACTCAGCTGCCACAGCCAATACGCGCCTACAAGGCTCCCGCTGCCAAGTACAAATCATACGAACACTGACTGCACGTCTTGCTTTCACATCGCCATACGGTGGCAGGATAGGGAGTTCTGATGATAGTCTTGCATCTCTTGTGTGCTCTTCTTCATGGCTTTTCGAGCGGCGAGCGCACATGCCGATCAAGAAAGACTCAACCCATGTGCACTTAACTACCCCCAGAGATGTCAGCAATGATCTCAGGCACCAGCCCAATCATCTTTGCTCAGAGGCTTCGTGTGATCCTCCGCACCTTACAGCAGGCGTCTCACACATTCATAGACCGGAACCCGGCATAGGATTTTCCATGTCTGGAGACGCAGAGCGGAGTCCGCAACTACTCGGCTTCAAGAACACGGCCGGCACGGCCAAGTTGCTTTGGTGACAACATTATTGTTGGCCCGTGTTGGGGCGTTGGGGTTGAGAGTTCTAAGCGGCGGAGCGGCAAGTAAGCGGCGAACCAGGGTGGATTGACACTGAGTTGGAGACGACCGGAGGCACGGCGTATGTGGGTCCACAGGAGCGGGAAGACTCTGGCAGGAAACTCCCACCTGACCAAGGGAGAGAGACAATCTCATCGTCTCAAGACGTCTTCAGTTTGACAGTCGGCCGCTACTCAGCTACTCCGCTGCACCTGTCTTCCAGCAGCTGCAGCAAAGCCGGAAGCTTGCCGAGATCCCCGTCGAAACGGTCATAGAGCCTCAGCTCGGAGAGCAGGGCGGACGAAAGCTAGTGCTCTGGAGTTTCAGCTGCCGAAGCAAGTGCAGAGGATGTAGGCTTGGTTGGGTTTGGGGTTTGGGTTTGCCGCGATTGTGCAAGTTCTGCTGTCCCGACGTTGGATCACAATCTGCAGGCCTAAAGGTGGGGGGGGGATCCTCAGTCACGGGGGCACCCCCTAAAATTTCTGAGATGCCGTGAAAGAGGTCACCTCAAGTCGCTGTTGCCCCCAACACAAGAACGACAAACAGGAGCTCCCTCAAGCTCCAAGGAGCTAGCTTTCGCGAATTTTCGTGACTTGCTGGAGCGATCCGTTGCAAGAGCCCAACAGTCGCATGTCCCCTCTTTTCTTCCCCCATGGCCAAAGAGAGTCCTGGCGCATGTTGCACGCGCACTGGCTCGGCTGCACAAGCAATGCCGGGCGCTACGTTCATTCTGTACAGAAGTCTGCTCAGCTGCGCGCGTCATTCAAGCCAACAGCACGGTTTCTGCTGCCACGGGCACTCTTGTCGCAGCATGGCGACCAACACTCGTTCATGTCCGAACTGCCGCGATACATCTTCATACGCCTCGGAAACGGCACCAGCTTCTTCAGACATCGGGTGGCCATCTGGGCCCAAGAGCATGAGATTGAAACCCTCCGCCACCAAGTCTTCAAGGAGCTGAAATGGCTCCACACTGGAGAGAGCTCTTTCGTAGGCGTTGCAATAGAAAGCCCTGGCGGCCACATACTGAACAAGCTCGCGAGACAGACCCAGGCAGGAGCCCGCGATCGCCGCATCGCGGTCAAGGTATCGCCTCTGAGGCTTTCCTTTCTGGTAAATTCTTTTGCGGCGGGCGAAATAAGCAGGCCACGTCTCGTCTTTGGCGACTTTAGCTGCCTGCCAAACGAGCTCCAGTGGCTGATCTATGGGTAGCAGCTTTCCTTCAGCCGTGCCATCATCCGTCACCCAGCTCTTGATCATCTCAGCCGGAACCTTCACATTGAAAGGCGACAGGGCGTTTCCAATACCTCCTTTCCCTTTGCTCACGAACAAGGACAAGCTGTCCCTTCGGTATGGGATCTCATCCTTGCGCTGTCCTCTCCACACGCAGCCACATCGAACAGTGCCTCGTAAGCCCTTGGCCTTATTTGCCTTCCTCGCAGTCTCCACGTCCGAGCTGACCTTTGCAACTATACTGTCCGGCCTGATGCCGCGCTTAAGGCAGGCTTTGCGGACCAGCTCTTTGACCTTGACTGGATGCGCTCTGCTGAAGCTTATCGGTGGCCAGGTTAAGGTACAGACAACAATGGACACAAGCAAAGCCCAACACTGCAGGCGAGCATCTGCCATCCTTTACTTTGTGAAGGCACATCGACAGAGCCAAAACGCCGCTGCCACAGCACACGCGTCCCCGCGGTTGGCATAAGACAAGCATTGTTTAAGCTTTGCATCATGGTTCTGAATGAGGTTTAACACTTCCTGTGGGCCCGGCTGACTGGCCACAGCCCGAGCACTGGAGTCGGTAGCCAGCAGGACATCTAAGCCTGGGGACACTCTGCGGACATCTCGAGCAAGGCGGAGGTTTGTGAAACTTAAACCTCCTTAGGATCCGAGCGTTGCCGAAACTCACCTGCTCGGCCCCTTCGCTCTCGCTTCGGCCTTTCGCATACTTTCGGGCACAATCTCTGACTACGTGGCTGCCAGTTCTGGGCTGTAGGCTCCAGGACTCCAGAATCAAGGAGTTAAGCACCGTTGAACCCGTTAAGGACGCATCGTTGTGCCATGCTGTGCCATGCCGTGCCATCGGCCTGTCCACGAGCAAGAATGTCTTTGATCGTGCCGCACCTGAACAAGCGGCTCTGTAACGGCAACACTGCTGCAAACTGATAGCAGGCAGTGGTGAACAACAGTTTCCCCAATCACGGCGAACTATGTGAGAACTGGTCTGCCATGCTGAAACGTCGATGGATGGTCTAAGCCTGTCGGACCTGATGCTTTTTCACTGCAATCTCCTGAGCTGTGAACTCTGTGGGCGCACCCCATTCGAGGCCTTGGGCAATCAACAAATGCCCATGAACAAGCAGATGCTGGCACGGCTTAAAACTACAGTGACAGCTCTGCAACTACGTCACTTGATCGAACATTGGATTGAGGATTTTGGGGCTTTGGAGTGCGATTTTACGAAACTAGCGCAGGGCTTGAGCAACGAAGGCAGCAGCCAAACTAAAACGTTTTGGCCCACCTGTGACTGCCGAGAAACATCACAAAAGCACTGTGGTGAGCTTCGGTTCTAGCTTGTCTGGCCAGTTTGCCGTGGGCTCTCAGAGTGCGGGTGACGCGTGTGCCTGACCTGAGGTTGTGGCGAAGCTCTTTGATTCAGTCGGAGTCCCCTGCAAGAAAGCTAACGATGTCAGGACACAGCGTTCATGTCATGATAAACTCATGAATGCTCAATCCGTTTGCGTCGAAGTGTGTTCCGCTCTTCCTGACAAGTCAATGTTTACAGAGCTGCTTGACTTTCTCGGGGAGCCTTCTGCGAGAAGCTCGCTTTCCTGGCAAGTCTCGAGCATACGGTGTCACACAAAGACAGCTTCCAGCAGTTTCTGCAATATACCTTTTTCTAGACAGTAATCCTCTTCCACGCGTGACCAGTCTAAGCTTTGGATAGCTGTGTGAATCACAAAACGAGGCAACGGAAGAGCAAATCCCCTGTGCCTCTGAGCTCCCTTCGCAGATTCTGGCAACTGAGCAGGTGGGAAAAAGGTGTGTGTGTGTGTGTGGCTGTGTGGAAGTGTGGCTGTGAGACTTCACATTGCAGTTGCGCTGTGCTTCCCCCCAAGGCCAGCACGCCGACGGGACCTCGCAGAAGCCACCAATAAGCAGATCAACAGATCCAACAGCAAGTGCACCCCAAGGGACCCCAAGGACTCCAGGGGCGCGACACCCGGAAATCTCTTCCAGCAGAAGCCCGGAAGCCTCAGTCAAGACCTGCAAGTCTTCGCATTGGCTCAAGAAGAATGACACAGCCCTGTGGGCTTGCATGGCTGTGCATGAACATGCGTGAACCCAACAATCCAGAGCGTGCAAAAGCAAGCCAGGCGTGCCGCAGTTGTGGCGCCTGCCACCCTGCCGGTTGCCAGACTAAAGAGGGCAAGTCGAAGAAATCTTTTTCAAAAATCGCCCTGCAACCTTCTGCAACCTTGAACCCCGTCCCCAAGTTCCGGAGCCTTCCCAAGTAGGACTGCGTCTTCTTGCCTCGAAGTCAGTGGTGCATCATCATGACACCAACATCACCATAACATCCAGAACATCACGCGCATTGGTAGCGAGTTGATTCTTCATGGCCTTCAAGGCGTGGCCGCGATTCTGCACCTTGGTGAAGCTTGCAGGCGGCAGCTTCGTGCTGAGACCTGCCCATGAAGGAACCTGGATGGCTTCTTTGTCCCTGCAAGCTTGTCAAAAGGCCTGGCGAACTGACTTTGTCGTGCAGAGCCGGCACTCAAAAGAGCAAGTTTGCAGATGCGCCCCTTGCGGCACTTGATCTGCTTGGAGGCTACTCTGAGTCTCTGTGGTTATTAGCCAATATGGTGAATTGATGACCTGCACAGCCAAGGCTGCAAGATGCTGCACCGGCTGCACCTGTACAAAAGGTGCGAATCGCCCGGAAGAAGCCCGGGGCGATCTCTGAATTCGGAGCCGCAGCCCTGGTCGCCCTTGCGGCCTTATGGCGCGAGCAGATGAAACTTCGCGGGCTCCCCAGAAGCCTGCAGCTGACAGGTTGCACATGGTTCCACATGGTTCCCACACCCTGGAAGCAAAAGCAACCGTCACGAAACTCACGAATTCTAAGAGGATCTCTGAGGCCAGGGGACTGAACAGCCAGAGACCCAAACATGGAACTCCCCAGGTTCTGCCAGGAGCTTGCCATCAGACCCGTGGAATTCCAGGTCTTGCCTCTTGTCGAAAGCTTTCGCATTCACCATCGCAGATGTAAAAACTCTGAGTGGGCGAGTTTCCGGCCTTGAGATCTGAAATGTGAGTGTCTTTGTCTCGCCAGGTTTCAGAAGCACCTAAGCACAACTGGAGCAATCACACGAGCGAATGCAACTTCTGCAGCTGTACAGGCAAAGCTCTTGACGAGCCCCAACTTCCAGCATTGTCCCCGCCTTCTGAAAGGCTTTCAGCTCTCTCACTGGACGAACACGACTGGCGACACAGTCATGGATGTAGAGCTGCACCACTTTCTCGCCCGCCACAGGACCTGAGCTTACTGTGACTTAGCAGTCCAAAGGCACTGGTCACTGGCCATTGATATAGCATGCCACCAGGTGGCCAGTATTGCTGACCTGCATATGCACAACAAGGCAAAGGAAAAGAGAGTCCCTGTGGTCAAATCTGTGATGAAACCAGCAAGCACACAAGTCAGGCACAGCAAGAAGCTCTGTCGCCTGCGCGGTCACCTGAAGCGTCTGGTCCCAAGCCAGTTTGTCGCTGCTGAGACTTGGTCTGGTGAAAGAGAAGTCGGTGTAGCTCAAGCCGTGGCCAAACGGGTACAAAGCTTTACTCGCCGTTTCCCTCCAGCTGGCCTTAAACGTACGAGGCCCGTCGCCTTGCGGACGTCCAGTCCGTGGCGCATTGTAGAACAAAGGTTGCTGCCCAGAGTCTGCAGGGAAACTGACCGGAAGATGACCTGCAGGGTTGTAGTCACCGAATAGGACATCTGCAGTGGCAGGTCCAGTTTGAGTGCCCAAAAACCACGCCACCAAAATTGCCTGAGCATCACGAACAGCTCCATACAGTGCAAGCGCCCTTCCCGTCCGCAACAGCACGACAACAGGCGTTCCCGTTGCCGACACGGCTTCAGCTAGAGCTTGCTGCGCTGGAGGAATGATGATCTGGGTTCTGGATTGCGATTCGCCGGAGAAGTTCTCCGGCTCTCCAACGGCAAGAACAACAACCTGAGCCTTCTTTGCCGCGGCCACGGCCTTGTCAATGCCTCCATCGATTGCAGCCTCGAAGTCACAGCCTTGCACAACCTCTAGGTCATCAGGATTGGACAGTGCCTTGCGAATGCCAACATCCACCGGGACCGCCCTCTTCTTGTCACCATACACTGTCCAGCAACCTTCAAGATTCTGCGTGTCGCTTGCAAAAGGCCCGATCAATGCAATCTTCTGACCAGATTTCTTGAGAGGCAAGACTTTGCCACTGTTTTTCAGAAGTACTATGGACTTGCGGCCAGCCTCTCTGGCCAAAGGCTCGTGATCGGCTCTCAGCTGTTCCAGGCGCTCGTCAAGCTTCGGATCTAGGCACTTGTACGGATTGTCAAACAAACCGATGGCTTTTTTGATCTTCAAGATGCGACGAACACCTTCATCAACTTCTTCCATGGAGACATCCCCCTTTGCAACCAAGTCCTCCATGTGCTGCACGTACAGACCACTCTGCATACTCATGTCCACGCCTGCCTTGAATGCAAGTCGCGCAGCATCGCGTCCATCTGCGGCAAAACCATGGCAAATAAGCTCCTCGTCTGCCGTGTAGTCGGACACGATGAAACCTTTAAAGCCCCACTCATTGCGCAGAACCTGTGTGCACAACCAGCGGTTGCCTGATGCTGGCACACCAGCCACATCGTTAAAGGCACTCATCAAGGTCAGCGCACCAGCATCGATGCAAGCCTTGAAGGCAGGAAGGTGTATGTCGCGCAGCGAGGCTTCGGAAATCTCCACGAAATTGTAGTCCATTCCTCCTGACACCCCGCCGTACGCCGCGAAGTGCTTCGGTGTTGCTAGCAGGCTGTCCTCAGCTCGCAGATCTTTGCCTTGGAAGCCCTTGACACGCGCAACTCCCAGCTGCTTTCCCAGGAAGACATCTTCGCCGGAGCCTTCTGCAACCCGGCCCCACCTCTGGTCCCTTGCGACATCAACCATCGGTGCCTTTGCAGTCGTCACATGACATGAGCAGGTCTGACTTCTTGCGGGATATCTGTATGCACAGCATTGAGCGCCGGACAAATGTCCAGTGAATCCCCGAGGCGGTGGTCTCCAAGGCCGTCGCCCGTGCTGTTTTCTCGGCCATCTCTGGATCAAAGCTCGCTGCTTCACCCAGAGGTATTGGGAAGATGGTCCACATACCGTGGATGACATCCTACAGAATCAGCTCAGCATCAGCCGATGCCATATCATGCTAACGCCAAGTCTGCCCTTCATGCCGTCAAGCCACGCTGCCAAAAATAAGAGGGATGCCCAGCCGGGTCTCTTCGACCGCGAGGCGCTGCGCCTCTCGGCCCTCCTTTTCATATAATCCGCAGCTGTCTTAGAGCACTGCGTAGCTGCAACATACTCAAACTGAGTGTAGCGATACAAGAAGCCTTTCGAAATCGTGCAAAAGCTCCTTGATGCCCACACCATTAAAAAGAGAGCCCACGCGGCTCTTGCGAATTTGCTCCACCATCTCGTGGGCCTGTCGATGGTTGACCTCCAGTTCACGGTCAGGAGAACTAAGCATACGAAAAATATGCATGGGCAATTGTGAGAACCTGTGTCGACTTCAACAGGAACAAGGCGTTTTGAACAGACATCCGCTGATGCTGCGACATGCTGCGACCCATTCGTGCGTGCTGTTTGTGAAACGCAGCGCCAAGTCCTCCACCACTTGAAAGGTGAGGGGAACTCGAGTTTGAAGGCGAGGAGTCTGGCCGAGCATTTCATTTTGGGGGAAACCTTTTTGCGCGTGTTTTCTCGGATTTGGCCTGAGCAGGGAGCAGAACCGAGGAGTTCTCTTAGTGTTGCTCTTTTTTTTGGCGGTCTGGCGCCAACTCTGTGTTCGGCACACGGAGAGACCAAAACCAGAGAACGGGAACCTTTTTTTTGAGGTCCATGCGGGTGTCCTAAACACCATAGCTGCATTCCGGCCGTTGTGGCATGGGCACGTGAGCGCTAAAGACTCGCGGCGCTAATGTTCGGATGTGCACCAGCTTCCGTCCAGGTGGCTTCTGGATTGATGTCCGGATTGCACGGCCGGACAGTGTCAGCCAAAATTGTGAGCTGACCAGCTTTCTCTTCAAGCGTCATCTGCGAGATGAGCTTTTCCTTCACAGGCAACGAAAGGAAAACGCGATCAGCCAGACACTTTGGGCATCTCCAAAGCTCTGCTGTGGGCACCCTGCCCTGGTCTCCCTGCAGCAGGGCGTCGATATGAGGATCATCACGAGCCAGCATCTTCACCTCATTTTGCAGCTCAAAAGGCTCGGGGAAAGGGCAACTTTCAGTCCCCAGGCCTAATTTGCGCTATCAGCCCGGAGCAACACATAAATTAGCCTTTCTACATTCCTTCTGTAGCATACCACGTCTCTCCCATTCATTGGTTGCTGTCCCATAAGAGTCGTACTAACTGGTCAAATCGTACAATTGCAAGTCTGCATCAGCTCTTCTGGGGGTAACATTTGGTAAGCCTGAACCATAGTGCGTATGCCTTGCCCCAGTCCTGAGAAAAGGGCTTTATGGGCTTTGCAAAATCCAGAAGAGTCCAAGATGCGAGCTCTTGCAAGCTTGGCTGCCAGGAAATTCGCCGCCCGAAGAATGCTTTGCAGGTACAGCAGGGCCCACGCGCTGGGAGCCGAAGCAGCAACTGCCGACGCAGATTGGTTTAAAAAAAGTGTCCTGAAACGGTGTGAAGCTTTGGTACCTCATGCATTTTGAGCCCAAGGCAGCTAAGGCAGCTCGGGCTCGGACCCTTTGGAGTGGTTCCAGTGAAAAGTCTACTTGGTGGACTCTTCGGTGGATTTGTGGGTGTCGTTTTCGGACTTACTGGCACCTGGAGGTCACAGAACGGTCACAGATCACAGCAAAACCGCTGGCGAACCACAGCGAACCACAGTCAGTCACACTACGTGCAGGCACGTCGGGCACATGTGCTGTGCACGAATCACACTGTCGGACTTTTTGGCCTCCTTGAAGTTGTCCCCATTTCTGGGACCAATGACCTCCGGCAGCTCCAGGAGGCGCGGCATAAACTCCGTGAAAATATGTGTGCAAGCAATTCCCTTGTGTGAAGACGAATGTCGTGGAGACTGTGGGGCTGCGAAACACTGCGAAGCGAACTCTGCGAAGTCTGCGGAACACTGCGAAACACTGCGAAACACAGATTGGCGGTGCGCCTCTTCAATCTCATACTCCTCTATCTCGTCCAAGGTCGGGCTATCGTGTCTAGCACGAAGCAGGTCTCCTTGCAACGGTCCGAGCTGATTCTTGTCAAAAAACTCTGCCAAACCCCTTTACACTCCAACTGGTCTGAACTCAAGCGACTTCGGCAAGCACGGAGCATGGTACATGATGGTACATGTCTGTCATTCAAAGGGGAGGGGTCCTTCTTTCTCTGGGCTGCTCGCAGCCTGCAGCTGCTTGCTGAAGGAGGCCTGGAAATCAAGTTGAGGCACCTGCTTTGCATTGGCTTTGGATATTTTGGATTATGTGTTTCGCAGCACCAGTGGACCAGAGGCCCAGAAATGTGCGCCCTTCAAGACCATGGACCTCCAGCGCTATAATCGAAGCATCCACGTCGACCTCCTTGGCACAGTGCTATGAAGCCGTTTTCATGTGTCGCCTGGACACATACCTTGTGAACGCCACATGCACACCATGCGAACACCATGTCACGCGTTGAGTGGCAGGCGGGTGGGCTGTCAACAAAGCCATTCTTGGCCTGTGACAGCCCGGATGTCATCTGCGCATGGTGACCTCGCTTTCGCATGCGATCCTAGCTTTCGCGAAGCGAACCAACTCAAAGCACCTTAAAGCGCTAAATCAGTGCTGGATCTGTCTGGCTGAGCAGCCATGAAGTGAAGGCAAATCCGGAGAGGATGTACGCGGTTTGAGCAACACGCGCTTCAGCCGATGAGTTCAAGTCTGTTGAATACAAATCTTGCGCCAGCTTTTGCACCTGCAGGAGCTACAACTACAACAAGAAGCCCAACAAGAGTCCAAAGGAGGGTGCACAACTTCGAATACGTGGTAGGCCTGGTTCCGTCACGTGCTCTGCAGTGTCTGTCAGTGTGCGTCTCAGTGTGTATGCATATACATATATATATATATATATGTGTGTGTTTTTGTACTCTCGGCGCCGCATGCCAAATTAGGCACAGCTGCCTCTGGAAACACAGGAAGTGGCTGCGCAACAAGCCTTGAGATTGAAACTGGAGCTCCCTGCAGTCGCCAGCGATGCCAAGATGTGCCCGCAAGGCTCAAGAGCCGAGTGTGGCGTTTCAGTACCTTTTTATGAGTTCTCCTTTTGGCAAGCCTTCGACTACAGAGGAATGCCCACAGCGTGCCAGCTGCCCTGCTACACCTGTGTGGAAAGAGGAACACACCGAGATACTCGCAGCAGAGAAGAGAACACATTTGGCCCAAGATCATGTCCCAAGTTTAGAGCGGTCTCAAGCTGTCTCAGATGCATTGGACACCGTCGGCTCCTCCCCGACTAACCTCAGCGAACGAAGCCATGACGGAGACCTAGCTTTGAGAGGAAGCACAAACTGTTCTGAGAAGCGCACCGTTCAGCCCATGAGCCGGCGGTTCTCAGAGCAACGAGGTCTTGAGGAGATGTATGCCTTGGCCAAGAAGTGTTGCTTTTCCCATGTCTTTTTTCCCCCATTGTCCCTCAGCTCTGGTCTGAGACTGAGATCAGGGCTGGTCCAAGCAGTCCTCATAGCCCGACGAACCTGCGAAACTAGACCGGGAGAAACCTGATTGGATAGTGAAGAAAGAATGCACAGCACGTGTGAAGCTGTTTTGCACGTGGCTGCAGGTATGCTCGCCCGCGTAGCTTCACGCAGACATTCACAACAGACTACAGCGTGTGGAGCCGTGCGGCATAAATCTATCCGCAGCTGGAAACAAAAGCTCTGCCAGCGCTGCCTTATTGAATACGACAGGTTCACGTGAGATTCACATGAAATTCACATGTCTACGACCATCTCTAGCCACTACATCCACTCCCCCGCCACTCTAAAAAACTCAGCTGTCGAGGAGGAACCTGGTCCGCTGCCTGCGGCACAGCTCCGAAAATCTGGCCCCACCAGGGAAAAGACAACCCCCCTTCAGCCTCAGTAGCCACTGTAACCGTAGCCTTGTCTGTTGTAAGGCTGGATAAGGACATGCCTGCACACGCTCACACACACGCTCACACACGCGCTCACACACGCTCACACACACACACAGTCCGCCAATGCAGACGCACCAATACATGCAGACAGCGCCGAATATGTCTCTATGGAACCCACACGCTGCCTGCCATCGATGTTTGCCTCACTCAGGGTGTTACAAGCACGTCGGGCCTCACAGGGCAAGCATATCTGATGATACTGTGCAAGTACCACGCTGTACCGCCACGGCATGTGCTTGGTTTGTTGCGGCCGAAGTCGTGACGTACTCAACGATGCCCATGCCTCTAGAGCTTCCATCCTGACCCATTGGCACTGGTTGCGGCATCTGCGCGCGTGGTGACGGACAGAAGCGCGCCTGTCTCTTGAACAGCTGGAAAGAGTTGATGAGACCAACTTGTGCAAACCTTGAAAGGGCGGCAATGTTTGCTCAGATTTGCCCAGGAAGAAAGGCACATTGCAATGACACTTGCTCACAGCACGCAAGCCTTCGTTTCAGATCGATCTCCCTCGACAAGAAAGGCACGTTCGCAAAGAAGATGCTCTGCAAGCAGGGACACAAACAGCGATATTGTATGGATGATGATAGATGTACATAGTTCAAAAACTGCTACATCAGGCTGGGCAAACCAGCTCAACAGCTTTACGGTGATGGGCAGCTAGCTGTTTTTTGCACCACGCTGCGTGCAGATGCAAAACGAGAGCACGAATCTGTTCCAAGGCTTAACCTGAACCGATACGGCTCTGACGTTGAGCTCTCACTAACTTTCGCCGCGAGATGTACAGGATATCTGCACAGGGAGGCCCACAGCTCATCCTGCACCTTAAGTGCAGGACGCCAATACCGCTGGAGCATGGAACCCCCACGCCAAGCTTGATCTGGCAACCTACTCATCCACGTCAGAGGTGCATCACGTTACGCATATCCCTGGCCAGGACCTCAAACTTCGGGCGCAAATGGAAAGGAAGACTGGCGACAATGGCTAAAGATAAGCAGAACTGGTTATGGCTTGGAACCCTATATAAGTTGGGCGACAAGAAGACAAGTGGAAAGGAAATAAGTCTTGGGCCCTTGAATTGGCCAAGGACCATCTGGAGTTGCGACATCCAAAGGTCGCGTCTGGCAGCTCAAAAACAAGCATTCCTAGTGACGTCAACAAATTGACCAGTGCCACACTATTGCCACAGATCCAACCGCATTGCTGAGCAAAGAACTTGTCTTTCGACCCTGGATCCAGGTACCACGTACGCCTGCCAGGTCCTGGACCAACACTGAAAAGATTGATGTTGGGTCGACACAACGAAACCTGTGTTTTCTATAATTTCCTATCGCGCCCCTTGCATCTTGCAAAGCGCTGTGTGATGCTGCGTGAAAAACTGGCCGCTTTCCCGCTCAAACCTTGGCTCCAAAACTGGGCTCCCACGGCCGGTCATTGTTTGTCCAAAGAGATGCTTGGGTTTACTGCTGCACATAAACCCTACGAGTTTACCTAAGAGGCTTGAACGCGCTGATACACCAGCACTATTTGACGCCCGTGACTCGTCTGGCGTAGAAGCCTGGCCTGCACAAAGGTCCAGTGAAGAGTGAACTTGATCTAGCCCTTCCGGCCCGTCCGCAGTTTGCACTGTTTGCACTCTTCCTTCTCTGAAGCTGCGTCGCCTCTTAATACCTCAACTAACTAGTCAGTGGGTCTGCTATCATGACCTCTGCGTCGATCAAACTAACTTCGCCCGTTGGCTCTGTGTTTGTTTCACATGTCAAACATGGCTAAGCCATCCTGCGCTAAGTCAAACTCCGCAAATTGCGCTGAGTCGGAAGGAATGATCAGGATCAAGGTAGCACACTTAACCGGCTGCACCCTAGTCGGCGGCTTCGGCCCTTGCTTTCAAGAATGCGCAGGTTGGGGCTCATGCCAAACGATAGCCGCCTACGCGCGCCACGCGCGGGGGATTGCGATACAACCCTCGGACCAGCACTCGGCCTTGGTAGAGCTCCAAGCCGAAGGTTCGCTTCAGACCCGCGCGGCGGCCCTGGTCGTGAGCACTTGGGGAGCAGGCGCGAAATGTATTTCAAGTCAACCAACCTCATCTGTCATGGCTTGACTGAAGACCCGGACCTCAAGCATCCACATCAGTTACCTTTATAAGCATACAATGTCATGATATGCAAAAGAGCCCTTCCAACCTGAGTTGACCCGTCCAGAAATATCTGCTTGGCGTCCTTGCCGGTCTGCTCCTGTTCCATGAGGCACAAGATTTCCACCGATTGTACCATCCCTAGTAGTGCTCCCCCTGTCGACGCCCCATGCTGCAACTGTATGAGTTGCCCGGCCCAGTCCTTGCTGTAACTCAAGACCTGAGCTATAGCTGCTTGAACTTCGAAGCCTTCTGATGGCTCACTCCATGGGTAGGAAAGCCCACAACCCGCCGTGAGATGCCGTGAGTAAGCCAGGTGCGCCGTTGCTGTGAAGCACAAACCAGCGATTCATCCAAGTCTGACAATGGCGCCAGGAGAATGCTCAAAAGGAAACAGCTTAACCGCCGTTTCAGCGCACTTCAGCTGACGCCACCTTCCCGAAATCCTCGGCGCGCTTTGACAGCCAGCCTTCTACCTTACTTGTTCAATTCCAGTAGAATTCTGGGTGTTGGCGGGGGGCTGCCCTTGAAGTTTCACAAAGGGCCTGCATGCACACTCACACGCGTTGAAGCAAGTTGCCACTAGTGACGGTGGCTGCCCCGGCATGCAACCTGGAACAGAGCGAACTTTGCGAAAAGCTGAAGTTCAGGGTTTGCCCATGCTTGCCCAAGCAGACAACAAAGGTCCGCCTGGAGGCTGACACGGCGCAGCTGCCGGCCTTACAGCATTGAGCTGTACAGCAAAACCGATGAGGATGCGCGCAAGGCGTTGTGAGGCAGAATCTTCAGGGCATGGTGGGGTCGGCACATGGCATACATCGGAGCGGAGGCCATTGAAGCCATCGGCGGATGCATCATCGAGGCCGGCATTTGGCCGCCTGGCCCAGCCTGGTAGGATGACCAGGAAACGTGGACCACCTGAGCAAAAGCGCCGAGATTTCGGGGGTTTCAGGCAGTCGGCACAGCTCAGCTAGAGCCTGCTGGCCAGGCATGCCCATCGTCTGGGCTTGAGGGATCTCAGCAGTGTACCTGTCAAGTTTCATGATGAGAAAGCAAGTCGTAACTCGCATCGGATAATAATATCAATGCCGCCCAGGTACGATGGAACAGGCTTTGGCGAAGAAGCTTGATGATTCAGCTCTTCACCCTTGGCAACCCGTCACATACGGCACCGGTTGCCACACATTTTGCAATGTCGGCCAATCAAAGGCTTGGTGGGTTGGCTTGGCTGAAGTTTGATGTATTTGCCAGGCAACCCAGGTCAAGGGCGTGCGAATGCTTGCGGTTGATGTCACAGGGCTTTCAGGAGTCGTACTGGTCACGAACTTTGGGCTGCTGTACCTGAAGCTGCTAGCTGACGCCTTTGAGTCCCTACAGCCTCAACCAGGAACGCCAACAATTTTGGCATCCCGGAACCTTATCACAATGCAAGATGCAAATCAGAACAGCGTGGGGTCCATCCTTCCTGTGACCCTGGCAGCTTGAGAGAACGCAAATGGCGATGAGAACTTGTCGGCACCTGCACCTGCAAGAGCATCGCTTGCCTGCTGTTCGGTGGGACTGTGTCCTATGGTGTTCTATGTCTATGCTGAGGCCACACCTCCGGAGAACTTCTGATGCTCGGCCGATGCGCTGTTCAAAGCTGCCTGGGCGAAGGTCGCGCTTGTGACATGCACAAACTTGGCTCCGCGCTCTGAAGCCGAGAATCTGGCAGACTAGAGAGTGCTAGAACACGGGTCACAAATGCACTCCGCTGCACTGCACTGCATTGCAATGCGCTGCACGTCGCTGCCTCAGGTGGGCACTTCAGAGACCTCTGCAGCCACAACACGACCATACTGCGCGTCACCTCAGCCACTGCCCCTCTGCACCGCATGATGCCAGGTTTGCCAAGGTTTGCCAAGGTTTGCTAGAATAAATGGGGTTTAGGAAGCAACTGCAGAGTGCTCGTCGTAGTGATATGTAATGATCCAGCTGAGCTCAGCCCGCGGCTCATGCTGCCCAAGCCACTCCCAAACCGCGTTCAGCTAACTTGGAATACAGCCGTCTGGCCTGTCCTAAAGGCTCAGATCCTCAAAATATGTTCCATCGATCTGCTGCGATGCCGCACGATGCCAACGTTGAACTGCATGTGCTCACATGTACTCAAGCCCTTATTGGCCGCTTTAAGCCAGAAAGCGTTTGGAGGAGCCTTCATAAATCCTTGGACTCACCGCCAGACTTCGCAGGAGACGTGGACAATTGGAGCGAACACTTCCGACCATGCAAGTGCGAGCTGCAACATGTTGCAGGGACCTTTCCAGGGTCAACTTCAGCAGGGGAGTCCCATTCTGCTTGGTACCTGGGGCTTTCAGAACGAGCTTGCGCATCAAATTATCAAATTGAACACTTTGCCTGATGCAAGCAGAACGCACTGGTGAGGGCACGAAGACCAATAATCTCTCTCCGAAGATGCAGCAACTGCGCCCTGACATGCTTCTGGTGGAGGCAATCAGGTGCTCAAATGTGGTTTGTCTGAGCTTCGCACGCGTTGCTCGCCCCGATCTTCCGCCTGCGTGTGCTTCTCCAGATCAGCCAGAAGAGCCCCAAAAGCCAGAAGAGCCAGAACGTGCTCCTTGCCTCCCTCAGGTACAGGGGCCATCCCTCGATCTCAAGCCCTTGTTTCAGGACCTCCACGCAAAGCTATGCTGGGCTATGTAATATTATGCAATCGATGCTCGCAAAGCTCGAAACGAACAACACGAGATCGAAGGCACATCAATGCACATGGCAGGAGTAAAGACAGCAGTGCCGGTGTAATCGGTATACTACCCGCAAGTTCGCTTGCCTCAGTGGCCGCCTGTGGGTCTTTGAACGTGACGATCTGAGATGTTCGCTTCGGGCACACCCGTGCTGCTGTACGCATCGTCACAAGGTTCTGCCATGTTCTGCCTGAGCCCAGGACACCAATGCCCTTGGGCTTTCCGCTGGGATGTCGGAACATGTGAAAGCTATCCAGGACACCTGGGCCGGCGGGGCAGGACGACAGCCTCCAACATCACATCTCTTCCTGCTCCGGATGTTGCAACATGCTTTTGCCGGCAAAGGAGTGCGCAAGCCGCACGTGGTGGCAGCCCGGTTTAAATTCTTTTCTTGGACTCTAGACATGCGGCGCTTCGCAGCGCCTGCAGGGCGCAAGCCTCGGGTTTGAAGCTCGCTAAGGGCTTGAAAAACGTGACGTGCACCTCGTGGCAACGCCTATCACATGAGGAGCGGCAATCAAAACACCGGCCACTTCTTCAAAGTGCCGTGCTCTGGCCTTCAACAATGGTCCGCATCGAAAAGGCTCGCTAAAGCAGCAAAGACTAAAAGCTCAGCGAAGCAAAGGCGGCTCGTTGACCTTTGCTGGAGGAGGCCCCGTCATCCATGCTTTTGCTTCAGACCCTGGTTTCCAAGCTAAGAGCCTGACCTCTGTACAGAGACGGAGGCTCCGAATGTTGCCACGAACCTGAGTTCACAGCATCAGGCAAACTCTTGCTTGGCCATGGGCCATGCCGGGGCATGCCGCACGAGCAGTTCACAACACTTGAGGGCCTGTCCTCCGCAAGAGCGTGCGGCCTCTGCCCTGCGGCCGCGGCCAGGACCGAAGCCTGCTCTTCCTTCGAAGAAGCTAGACAAGCCACTCGTCCAAAGTCCCAAACAAGTTCTGTGAGAATGTAGAGAATACAGATGCCTGCGTCAAGGATGACAGCGCTGACGGGGAAATGGAGGCCTCCACAAGTCGAAAGCTGCCGACAGCTAGGCCACGCTTCGGGCCACTAGCGAAAGAATTTGGCTGCGATTCTTCTCAGATTTTTCCCATACGCCCTATTCGACCTTCAAAAATGATATGTAGATGCTGTCAAAGCCGCATAAGTGGCTCATGAGCGAATCTCCAATCCGATGTGCTTAGTGGTTAGTATCTCTTTGTCTCGGTTGTCTCCTGCTACCGGAAGCGACGACATGTGCGCACATGTGCTGAGATTCGATGATACGATTCATCTGACACAATGTATTCCTGCGAGGACGCAAGTTCACCTAAGCCGGCCTCTGTCCTCAACGTGCTGTCCTGGAAGATGGAAACCCGCAAGACCGGCAGCTCGCGCAAGCCCTGGTGGTTCCGTAAGTCGGAACATTCTCAGCCGGTAGTAGCTTGCCATCAAGTCAGTTCCGGGGTGGCGGCACTCACCAAGTCTCTCACCTGTTGCCATGGCAAAAACATCATGCAAGCCTCCAATGCTTGACTCTATCCATCCCATGCCTCAAGGAGTGCGCCGATACGGCTTCCCTCGTGAACGTGGATCAGAGGCCGCCATTCCAAAGAGCTGTCAAGCAAAGGATCGCAGTTGCAGCATTGTTTCGGGGAGCCACCAGAACACAAGAACATTGAAGTGGCTGGCCATGCCTGCCAATTTCCGTGCCGCCAAAGTGAGCCTTCGGCAACTCCCCTGTCCATTGCACATGTTGCAGGGAAGGCAACTTCGTGTTCATCAACAGCTCCCTGCACAGAAACAACTTAAAAACAGCTTCAATGACTCACTATGGAGCTCGATGAATGCAAGCAGCCCAGCCCACGTGAGACGGAGCTGCTTCGGAGCAGACGAGAGACGACTCATTTTGAGACGGAAGCGGGTTTCGTACCTCCAAGAACAAAGGCACCAGGCCTCGAATCAGAGCTTTGTGCCGAAACCGTCTGGCATGTATGGTGACTCGCTGGCAAATTTGTCCGAGAAGTCGTTTGCAAAGCTCTCTGTGTGGGGAGCAGGCAACTCGGTGGCAGTTCGCGGAAGCGGCTCCTCGCAGGCAAAGCAAAGGCTGCTGGAAATCGTCGCTGCTTGGTGATGCCTTTGGTGATGCCTCTGTACAAGTATACAGGCAGACTAGTTTTAAAAAGACAAACAAAACACCAACAACATCCAACTAACAACCACCACATGCATGCATCTGTACAACGACGCCAGCACAGCCGGATCCAAGCGCAGCTGTCGCAGACATGAGCTCAGCTTTTACCCTACTCTTCTATCCGCATGGGGAACTCGGAGAGATTCCCACAAAGATGAGTTGTCGTCTTTGCTCGAAGTGCAGGATTGGGTCTATCGTTGCAACCAGCATGACACCTGCCTCTGCGGCAAGTGTCTCAGACAAATGTCATGCAATAGCAGCATCTTCTGAGTAGGGCTACATGCATAGTTCGAGTGCACCACAGGCACATGGACAACGGCACAACCAATCCAACACAGCCGATCCGAGCGAGGCTGTCGCAGACATGAGCTCAGCTTTTACCCTACTCTTCTATCCGCATGGGGAACTCGGAGAGATTCCCACAAAGATGAGTTGTCGTCTTTGCTCGAAGTGCAGGATTGGGTCTATCGTTGCAACCAGCATGACACCTGCCTCTGCGGCAAGTGTCTCAGACAAATGTCATGCAATAGCAGCATCTTCTGAGTAGGGCTACATGCATAGTTCGAGTGCACCACAGGCACATGGACAACGGCACAACCAATCCAACACAGCCGATCCGAGCGAGGCTGTCGCAGACATGAGCTCAGCTTTTACCCTACTCTTCTATCCGCATGGGGAACTCAGAGAGATTCCCACAAAGATGAGTTGTCGTCCTTGCTCGATGTGCAGGATTGGGTCTATCGTTGCAACCAGCATGACACCTGCCTCTGCGTCAAGTATCTCAGCGAAATGTCAGGCACAACTTGCGACTGGTTTGAGCTCAGCTTTTACCCTACTCTCGCGTCTTCATCTCAGGTTCAGAGAGATTCCCACAGAGACTAGATCGTCCTGGCCCGATATGCTTCTCTGCAGCTCTGCATGTGATAGTGTGAAGTGCATGGTTCGAGTGCACCACAGACACATGGACAACGGCACAACCAATCCAACACAGCCGAATCCGAGCGGGGCTGTCACAGACATGAGCTCAGCTTTTACCCTACTCTTCTATCCGCATGGGGAACTCAGAGAGATTCCCACAAAGATGAGTTGTCGTCCTTGCTCGAAGTGCAGGATTGGGTCTATCGTTGCAACCCAGCATGACACCTGCCTCTACGGCAAGTATCTCAGCGATAGGTCGTGTGATAGCAGCATCTTCTGTCCAGGCAGAACTTGCCACTGATTTGAGCTCAGCTTTTACCCTACTCTCGCGTCTTCATCTCAGGTTCAGAGAGATTCCCACAGAGACTAGATCGTCCTGGCCCGACATGCTTCTCTGCATGTGATAGCGTGAAGTGCATGGTTCGAGTGCACCACAGACACATGGACAACGGCACAACCAATCCAACACAGCCGAATCCGAGCGGGGCTGTCACAGACGTGAGCTCAGCTTTTACCCTACTCTTCTATCCGCATGGGGAACTCAGAGAGATTCCCACAAAGATGAGTTGTCGTCCATGCTCGAAGGGCAGGATTGGGTCTATCGTTGCAACCCAGCATGACACCTGCCTCTACGGCAAGTATCTCAGCGATGGGTCGTGTGATAGCAGCATCTTCTGTCCAGGCAGAACTTGCCACTGATTTGAGCTCAGCTTTTACCCTACTCTCGCGTCTTCATCTCAGGTTCAGAGAGATTCCCACAGAGACTAGATCGTCCTGGCCCGACATGCTTCTCTGCATGTGATAGCGTGAAGTGCATGGTTCGAGTGCACCACAGACACATGGACAACGGCACAACCAATCCAACACAGCCGAATCCGAGCGAGGCTGTCGCAGACATGAGCTCAGCTTTTACCCTACTCTTCTATCCGCATGGGGAACTCGGAGAGATTCCCACAAAGATGAGTTGTCGTCCTTTGCTCGAAGTGCAGGATTGGGTCTATTGTTGCAACCAGCATGACACCTGCCTCTGCGGCAAGTGTCTCAGACAAATGTCATGCAATAGCAGCATCTTCTGAATAGTGCTACGTGCATAGTTCGAGTGCACCACAGGCACATGGACAACGGCACAACCAATCCAACACAGCCGATCCGGGCGAGGCTGTCGCAGACATGAGCTCAGCTTTTACCCTACTCTTCTATCCGCATGGCGAACTCGGAGAGATTCCCACAAAGATGAGTTGTCGTCTTTGCTCGAAGTGCAGGATTGGGTCTATCGTTGCAACCAGCATGACACCTGCCTCTGCGGCAAGTGTCTCAGACAAATGTCATGCAATAGCAGCATCTTCTGAATAGTGCTACGTGCATAGTTCGAGTGCACCACAGGCACATGGACAACGGCACAACCAATCCAACACAGCCGATCCGAGCGAGGCTGTCGCAGACATGAGCTCAGCTTTTACCCTACTCTTCTATCCGCATGGGGAACTCAGAGAGATTCCCACAAAGATGAGTTGTCGTCCTTGCTCGAAGTACAGGATTGGGTCTATCGTTGCAACCAGCATGACACCTGCCTCTGCGGCAAGTGTCTCAGACAAATGTCATGCAATAGCAGCATCTTCTGAATAGTGCTACGTGCATAGTTCGAGTGCACCACAGGCACATGGACAACGGCACAACCAATCCAACACAGCCGATCCGAGCGAGGCTGTCGCAGACATGAGCTCAGCTTTTACCCTACTCTTCTATCCGCATGGGGAACTCAGAGAGATTCCCACAAAGATGAGTTGTCGTCCTTGCTCGAAGTGCAGGATTGGGTCTATCGTTCCAACCCAGCATGACACCTGCCTCTGCGGCAAGTGTCTCAGACAAATGTCATGCAATAGCAGCATCTTCTGAGTAGTGCTACGTGCAGGCACATGGACAACGGCACAACCAATCCAACACAGCCAGATTCGGATCCAAGCGCAGCTGAGGCAGACATTGGCTCAGATTTTACCCTACTCTTCTATCCACATGGAGATCTCAGAGAGATTCCCACAAAGATGATTGTATCATCCTTGCTCAGAACGGAGGTGCCAGCATTTAGTTCTAGAAACATCTTCCTTTCAAAGTGCCCATGCGAAACATGTTGCCACTGATGAGTTCAAGTTCAAGCCTTGTACGAGAACGCATGTCTGCGGAGGCAGCGCAACTACAGTTTGTGCCTCAACTACACCCGTATCCTTGTACGAAACAGTCGCCTCGCAACTTGTCTTGTCCCCAATCGCTATGAGACCGCCAGTGACACTCAACTGGCCAAAGAAAAACACCTTCCGCTTTGCCAGAGCTTCTGAATGACGTGTGTCAAGTGCCAGCTATCTAGCCGTGCCTGCGGCTTCTTCCCTGCGAAGAAGCAGTAGCCCAGCCTCGAGGCAGGTTCATCAAAATCCAAGGGTCATGCTCATTCTATCATTCATAATCTTCGTAAGTAAGTTTTCAGCAAATGGATATTTGCCCAAACTGGTATTAGGCTCCTTTGCCATTTGCCGTGTATTGAATTTCATTGCTTTATTCCATGAAGAGCACCGAAGAGCACCGAAGAGCACCACACACATTCATCAAACATGACTTTCGCAATGTCACCTCCTCTCGTTTCCAGCCCCTTCGAGAAAATGCAGTGCTTGCATTTCTTCATGCAGTCCACGTGAATTCCAGTAGGAACCTATCATCCATTGAGCGCTCATTTTGCCGCAAGTCAAACTCTCGTTGGCAACGTGAGGTTCTGGCGACAAGGCGTTGGTGGTCTCGGGATCTGTCTCCAGCACCTGCGAAACTGCTTGCAAATCACTGTCTTCCCGCTTGGAGTCACTTACGGTTGAGCAGCTTCAGGACCTCAAGCTCGAAGTAGTACGCAGCCCGCGCGGACGGCAGGCCGCGAGTTGGCCGGCTGGCCTGACCTCTCAGCGGCCTCAACGATGGTCTCTTGCACACATCTTGCAAGACTCTTGCATTCTCATCTGCACACAAGATCGGCCGACAGCAGTACGAAGCACAAATCGAGTGCCTCAGCGGCTTTGCGGTCACTGCCACGCCTCGCAGAAACAGAGGAAACAGAGGATCGCACAATGCACAAGTTCTGGCACCGCCCACCTCCACATGGAAACTCTGAGGGTGCTTGGGGATGCTTTCCGGCAACGTCGTTGCCTTGTCCAAGGCACACTTGGCATCGTAAATAAACCGAAGCAGCGTTCACGAAACGATACTAAACAATCAGAATCGGGCCTCCCAGAGCTCTTCCCCAAAAACCACTGGAAATCACGCTGCTTTGCTGCAGAAGCAAGGTCTCACTCGCGTAGCCTGCATCACTGTGAATCTTGGAATGCCTAGGCCTAGGCCTAATGAAACAAGTCGGCTAAAATATGCAACGCCCTGAGTGTGTGGCCAAAGGCCAGATGGCACAACTTACTGCGCAGTTTGCGCGGGCTTGGGCTGCTGTTGCTGCTCGAAGACTCGTCATCTAACCTCTCACAGCAATGTGAGCTCCCCACTCAACTTCGCTATGAAGCGACTCTTCTTATCTGTCTTCACCTAAGCGCCCCACCTCACGGGCACTGTAAGCCCGCGCCAAAAGGTCGGCGACTTGTCCTTCGCAAATGGACATCGGCGCGTGAAGGTATCGACGACATAAGTCGACTTGCTGAGTCCTTCTTGGCGTGGCTCGGTGTGCATGCGCTCTTGGGCGAACCGCCTCTGTGTGTGGATCGAAACCTAACAGCACTGCAACATGACATCCAGTCCTGTACTTGTCTAGGGCCACACTGATACGTGGCAAAGACCCAGACAAGCTGAAAACCGCCTGCAAACTGCAAACCCTGCAAGCTGCAACACCCCAAGCCCTACTCTGGGCACGCCAAGCTAGTGCTAGTGCGGACGAGCAAAATTAAGACAGGCCCGGCGGCCTTAAAGCCTCGATAAAAAACTGGAACACGACTCCTGACGAAACCTAAACAAGAACCATCGCGAGAGACACAAGGACTCGCTTCCGTCACTTGCAGGGTTCAGAACTTTACGGCCGAGTCAGATTCGTGTAGGTTTTCGGGGGTCGAGGGTTTCGGTTGGGGTGGTATGGTCGTCAGGGAGCCGAACCTTGTGACTCTGCTTGCTCGTGGCTGTCTTTGTTTTTGGGTCTCGCAACTCCTATGACCTGCCAAACAACTCTCCCGTAAACTTCATAAACTACTCAATCCAAAGCATAGAACATCGGCAAATGCAGCTTCAGGGATCTTTCGGGGGTTTGCGAGAATGAGAGGCCTGTTAAATTTGACCCCCAAGTAGTAGGAACCCCTGTAACAAGGACCCCACTGAGGTACCGCTAATATCGTAAACCTCCATCTCAACCATCACTTCACCCACTCTCCGCTCCAACTTGAGTTGTGAAGCGTATCCACTTGACTCAGATGAAGCGCGACATGTTGCAACCCATGGTCCCCGTCCTTCTTTTTGTTGCCTACGTAAGACTGCGGTCTAGGATGCCTACATCGATGAAGGTGAATCGAAGGCTGCGAAGGTACGCAATAGCTCGTGGCCCAAGCCCAAGGAAGAGCTCGAGAGGTAAAATTTTCAACAACCAACCTTAGCAGAATCTCGGAAGCCCCTGACACCTCTTCCCTCGCACCTGCTTCGGCTACTTGGGAAGGTACGCCTGCAGATACCACACCTGCTTGCCAGTCGGTTTGCATGATCTCTGGTGCCGGACAGTTACACAGCCACCACAGCGTGGCAAAACCAACGCAAAAGCCGGGCCTTCCACGGTGTCGCTGTCACGTGATCTCGCCTCGTGGTGATTTTTTGCATCCACTGAAACTGCTTCAACCATCTTCAACCTCTACTCCAAGCTGACCAGCCTGCAGTGGGGGATCTTCGAGGGCTTTGGACCAACTGCCCCGCTCCTCGAATCGGATGCGCAGACACGTCCTGAGCTTCACAAAACGTTCCACAGCACTTCACAGACTATGAGAGCTCCGAAATGCTCCGAAGATCTGCAAGAAGATTTTCGTTCATGATGTCATCTTGGTTCCCAACAGGAAGATGTTGCCACCGTCGGCACCTGCCAATCGCAAGGTGGAGGAGTTGCCAAGTGCCTGCGGCTGCCTTGGTTTGTCCACCTCGGGCTTCTTGTCTTGTTCCAGGGTACTGGATGGGGATTGTGGTGCCTTTTTGGTGCCTTTTGCCCGTTACAGCCAGGTTCACTGTCTGCCTACAGGCCCGTTCGCTCACGCGCCGTCGGTTCCAACGGCAAGTAATCTGGGATGTCATCTCCATACGCATCCTTCAGAAAGAGTGAAAGCTTGTAGTCAAGAATTCGAAGTGCAGCACGGACGACATCCACAGCCGTTCGTGGCCCATCGCATGTCACAGCCTCAACTGTGAAGTGGAACTTAGACGTGTCCATGGTTGCTGTGCAAAGGTCTCTCTTGTTGAGCAGTCTGGCTTTGGTTGTGCACTCGTCACAAAATATGCAGTCGCGATATCTGGCCACCTCAACGGTATCCTCGATGTCAAGAGCAAAAACATTTCGAGGACACGACTGCACGAAGTCTAGCTTTTCATCAAGTGTAAGCTTTGCAGCGACTTCTGCGTTCACCGTCACAATAGGCTCATAATTCATAACACACGTTGCTACTGGCATCCACTTGGAGTGATACTTTGGAATGCCTTTGCGGGCTGTACAGATCATCTTTAAGCTCTGATCCTTCTTCATCTTGGCGATAATGATGCCATTCTCTTTGTGATCCGCATCTTCGTCGAGCGTGGGATCACGGAAAGGGCAGCAACGTACCTTCTTGAAGTGTGGCCACTCTGGTCGCTCAAACTTTCGAGTCTGAGGCGTGTCTTGCTGAATATCAAAATGCGTAACGGAAAGAACTTTGTCTTCTTGATTTGTCACATCGAGCCTGAACTCCCTTGTGCAGTAAGGGCAGCCATCAAAGCAGTTGCAGTCCTTGAACTCCAGCATTCCGCCATCTGGCGGAATGTCCCCAACTCCATGGCTAGACAAGGGTATCAAGCCCATTCTGTGAGCGATGAACTCGTCAAAGAGAACTGTGTCGTTCTCTTCAATATTGACAATCTCGATGGCCATGGTTGGCACCTCGGCCAGTATCACGCGCCTTAAGGCATTCGCCACGCTCACGTCTGTCTCACTGAGGGTGAACTTTACCAGCTCCTTGGTCGCATGGAGGACTTGGATCTTTGGCTTTCGGGGCTCACTGCCGTAAGGGAAATTCAGCCATTCACCTCCCGCATAGTAGGAGAGCGATGCCATGGCAACTACAAGACATTACGGGCCAAAAGGGCTAAGCGGCTAAGCAAATGGTTCACGTGGTTTCGTGGCTTGGTCTCCGGCTGAGCAACTCGGTTCCTCTGCAAAACGATCGCTGAACGCTGAGCAATATGGCACCTCTTCGCGTTTCCTGCGACTGCTCCTCACAAACGTTCTTGTCACATCAGCTGCCGACGACAGAGAGCCGGAAAAAACTAGCTCCTCCTGCTCCTTTTCAGTGTCCGCTGCAGCCATGGCTGCGGGAAGGCGTCTGTCATGTACGCGAGACGCCGGTGCCAAGGAGGCTGAGTCACACGTTGCTTACGATAGCAAGGCAAAGAGTTTCAAGGAAAGCCACACATGTCTAGAACGTTCTAGAACCATGTGTCGAACCATGTGTCAAGGCCTGACTTCGAACCGCTGGGATGCATCGGAAAGGCAGACATTGCAAGCTCACAGCTGCATGTCGCTAGGTACAGTGTTCCGTCATCTGGGCCCACACCAAACTCTCGGAAGTAGGACTGGACCTTGGCAGGCAGGAGAAAACTTGCCGAGGCCGCTAAAACGATGGTAAAAATAATCTAAAAATTAAAAGCTTGGCAACCCTCTCCAACATGAGACCATGTTCTTCCCCTGCGAAAACACGCCCCTTATGTTCTGGCACCCCTCATTGCGAGCTGAAGTTCGGAGTCACTGCGGCAACAGCAGCAGGCTCCCCAGGCCGAGTGCCCCCACTACACCTCCCATCCCTGCCTCTCATCTCTGTATGTACTACGATAAAGCAAGCAAAAAAATGGTCCAAGCCTTCTTGTCAGGAACTCCTTCTGGCGGATCATTTGGAACTGTGGCTCTGAACTCCAGGCACGGCATCTGGACATGCCAGCAACTGGAAAAAAAAACAGACAGATCTTCAACAATGGCCTGGGGGTGCCTGGGGGACGCAACATTGCATCGTAGCTGAAGGCCCTGTTCTCAAACACGAACCTATGTGCTCATTCGAGGCTCATTAAGCTCGCAACTCTTCCGACCGGCAGCTGACTCGGAGCGCCGCTGAAGAATACTGGCGGTGTCGAAACACAGTACCACACAGTACCACAATGACAGGCACGTCCGGTCGCGTCCTGAGTGACCATCCCACCAGTCCTCTCCCTGCAAAGGCAATCACTTGCTGTGACTCGCTGTTGCAGAGCAGAGCAGTGCCTGTGACTTGTTATTCCAGGTACCTCGGTGCAGGTTCGGTTCTTCATCAGCACCCTCATCCAGCTGTATGAGGGGGCACTCTGCGATGTTTTCCATGTCTCCACCTCCGACCTCCGAGGCCAATGTCCAAGCACAAGCTTGCTTAGAAAACACTTTCGAGTGCACAAATCGTGAACTGGCTGTAAGTCGAAAGCATTCCTGCCACGGAGTCCTCCTTAGTTAGGCGCATTAGTGAGGATTGTTGTGCCAATGTGCACATGCCCTCAGGGTACATGTTTTGAGGAAAAGTGCTCTGCACTTGGTGGCGAGAGACCTGCACGTTCAGCGTGCAGCTGCCGATGACCCATCCATTCAGGTAATTGATGGCAGACCTGCTTGGGCTTTTCGCTAACGAGACAATAGGATTGGAGTACTCAGAAGTGTGGATGGCCTTGCATCCTTCTGGGAGGAGTACTCAACCAGGCCCTGACCACGGGATCGGCCTTCCTAGGCTACAACAGAGCGGCTCACGTCTCGTGCATGGACAAAACGCATTATCGCTAACCTGCCGTCTTCCTGCCACGCTTGCAATCCGGTTTAGGGCTCAAACGCAATTCGGAATACTCCATAGGTCCCACACGGGTACTTGGGGCATTGTCACTCCCACAACTCCCACAGATCCATCAGCAATGCAGTGTGTGTGGGGTATCGGGAAGGGTGCACGCAGCGTGTAAAGCAGGTGGCCCCGCCCTAAGGCTTAAAGATCCACAGCTCTTCCACCCATGATCCCTCATTGGGGGGTTCCTAAGCAGGGCAAGCAATCGAGAATAGGCTCGGCCAAACTGGACTTACCACTCATAAGGGACCCCTGAAATCACACACGCACGCACCCAGCAAACACAAGGAGCACAGTACGAAGTACGAAGTACGAACAGCTGAGTCCCTACAGGCTGAACATGATACACATTGCAGTATCCCCTTGGTGCGATGGTGCAGTGCCCAAGACTTCAAGCACCACCCCCCGACGACATGAACATTTCTGATCTTCAGCTGCGGTTTTGCCAGGAGATTCTGAGGCTTCAGCTGGATTCCGAAAGAGCCAGAAGCTCTTGATTTTCCCACATTCCTCCGCTGCTACATGTTGGTGCATCGTCAGCTCGCCAGCTGAAAGGCTGCAAAAAGCACTCTATAGGCCACACTCCTCGAAAAAGGAGTAGAGCTTGTCACTGCTCATGTCGAGAGGAGCACCATGGAAGTGGACGGCACACCCGTCAGAGCTGCCTCTCGAAGCTGCCCCCATTTGTTACATGATTTTTTATGACAAGAATACCGCTGGAACCGCGAAAGATCCTCGCCTTCGTACCACTCTTTTGAGGGCCCTCGCCCATACCAGCCAGCGAAGCTTTCACGCTGGCTAGGCTGAGGTGGCTTCCACGTGGTACTGTCGTTCCTGAGGAGAGGTACGCGCTGCGCACAGCACAACCAGCTATCGTTTAACACTTCCGAACAGAACTTCCATTTATCAGCCCTTCGTCTCGTTCTGCCCCAACTGCGCAGATACTCCGAATACTTTGTGGGAACACCTGTCACACCTGCACCCAAAATTGCTCCGCGAATCCTGCATTGCGTGCTCCCACACGGGATTGCCGTACAAGGGCAATTTGCATTGACGAAAATCCCATGTCCCATGCAGAATCACGCAACACTTTATGCAGCCCTCCGCTTCAGAGCCTAGTCGTGCCGCGGTCAAATGAGAGTCCTCACCTGTTGACCAAAACCGCTGTGCTAAGCTAGCCGCTCGTGGTCTGTGTACACCTCGGGACAATCGAACATCATGAAGATCATGACGGGGGGGCAGTGCTGCTTCCAGGCTCCCAGGCCATGATGGTACATCCCTGGACCTGACTCGAGATGTGGACTCTGCGTGACACAAGAGGTATTCCTCATGCTTGCCCGCCTTGCTTCCATTCAACTGGAGTAGCGCTTGCTTCGCCTCTCCACTTCTTGGGCGACTCAGACAGGTCACACCGCACACCGGTCATGAGATGCCCCCCAGCCTGCTTGGCGGTCTTGTAGGTGACCATGCCCATGCCCCGTGATTTCCCATCCTGCACCGCAGACAGTTTGGGGCAAAGTTCCAAGTATTCCCCAGCTCCTTGAGTTTGAAAAGGTTGAAGGCCTCAACCTGCTGTTGAACACGCGATGAACAACATTCATTCTCAAGAAAGGAAGAAGCTGGTGCGAATACCTCGCCGACTTTCTTGAAGAAGTTCTTCAAAGTCTCCTGGAGTGCACATATGTTTCTTTTGGGCTACTAGGCCTCGCAGCTTGGGCGGGCCTCAGCAACCTCACCGGATGCACCACTAAATCGAACTTTGGCATCTGCGCCTACCAGGTCAACAGACGTGCCGTTTCTGCCATGCCACAAGCCGGGCACGCAAGCATCGTCACATGCGGCTTTGCACTCATTAGCGATCTTCTTCATACACTTGTTCGTCCCTGCCTGCGCTGCTTGCGTCCTCCTTCTGCCTCTTGGCACCGGGACGCGGCTGCGCCGACAGCAGAAGCTGGAGTTCCTGCGTTTTAGGTCTCCAAAGCGTGTGCTTCTGCATGTCTGCCCACATACACCATTCCAAGCTTGACAGTCTCGCCTCATCTGTGCAATAACAGCCCGTGTCAGACTTGTCATCCAGCAATTTCAGGACAACAGCCTTGCATGCCGATAAGCCCTTCCTATCATCAGATGAGCACAACCCTATTACAGGCTGAACATTAGCTCCCCTCAAACAAAGAACAAGCCTTGGGCACTCCTTGCTCTTCGGAGGCCTCAGAAGTCAATAAGGTGCTCGCTTCTTTTGCACCATCCAAGTCTTGCTTCTGTGTGTGTCCAACCATTACTAACCTCTGCACATGCCCGACCGTTTAGAAGCCCAGCGACCTTAACTTCTTTGCAAAGAATCGCATACTCCTTCCAGCGGTTCGGGATAGTGAGCTTGACAGGCTTCATTCCAACATGCTCCGGTCCTGCTTCCACTCGTCTGCATCTCCCTCAAACCCTACCAGCTTGGCCAGCTTCATCATTTCGCCCTGAGAACCCAAGTGCAACTGTGCAACTCTAAAACCAAGCGAAATACTTACTGGGCAGACTTTCCAATCAACAGGAACCTCACGACCTGCGACATCGACCGCGCTCAGCACTCATGGGAACGCTGCCGACACTACAATGGGTAAGCAACAACTGTATCCGCAAATCTTGCCGGCCGACACTAGGAACGTAAAAGAATGAAATGTTTGAGGTGGTCGCATGCATGATGGACAGTTAAGGGGGTTGGGAGCTTGACCTTGGATTTCCACATCTGGCAAGAAAGGTGTCGTTCACATTTTACGACACACAGAAAAAAATGACACAGATATATGAATATGAATGCATGAATATATGAAAATATGATTCTATGAAAATATGATTATATGAATATATGAATATATGAATATATGAATATATGAATATATGAATATATGAATATATGAACATGTGAATATGTGAACATGTGAACATGTGAACATGTGAACATGTGAATATGTGAATATGTGAATATGTGAATATGTGAATATATGAATATATGAATAGATGAATATATATATATATATATATATACATATACATATACATACATATTTTTAACGAATATATGAATATATGAATATATGAATATATGAATATATGAATATATGAATATATGAATATATGAATATATGAATATATGATTGTATGAATATCTGAACCTATGAATCTATGAATGTATGAAGATATGAACCTTAGAATGTGTGAATATAGGAATACTGCACCTCCTTCAGAAAGCCATCTCCATCTTTGTCGATAGCTTCGAAGAGAGAGTTCTTGAGAGCCTGCTTCGGCTTTGCGCAGTCCATGTGAGTGGCCAGTGGCTTGCTCCAAACCGTGTGCCTTGCGTGACGAACTGGTCGCGGCCATCTCCTGAGACAACGTCAGAAACTGAGACCCGAAAAACCGAACCTTTTCGTTCACAATCACTTGCTTGCCTTAAGCCGGGCAGGGTCGAGTAAACGTCATGTTAAGACGCGAGTGTGCACGTGGACTTCATGGTCCAGTGCGCGGCCTGGGACGCGCGCTGGACGCTTAACATGATGTTTACTGGACCCCGCGCGTCTCGATGTGAGTTCGGGCACAGCCTGCACTTTTCCCCCCCACCCCAGGACATGCCCGACTTGGGCATGGCAACCTCCTGGGCGGCTTCCTCCTCGGGGAGAGTGGGGTTCTGAGATGGTCCGGGGGCTGCGTCAATGCCATGCGCTCTCCTGGACGCTTGGACACTTAACGTGCTGTTTACTCGACCCTGCCCCCCTTAAGCCGGTATTTGAGAGCTGACCACAAATAAAGAGAGTCTTATGGGAACTTGCCTAATTTGCTCTTCGACACTCTGAGGCCAGCGCGTGGGCTCCGCCCCGTCAAGACACCGCTACATCCGCTTGAAGAGTCCAACATCTTTCAAAATGCTGCGGAGAAAGAGAGCAGCTTCAGCGACTTCAGCGACTTCGGCGGCTTTTCAGGTTCTGGATGACCTTACTTGGGAAACTCTGATACCGAGGACAAAGTCACGACGCACTAACTGCTTCTCGGAGCACATCTCAGAGCAAGTTCACCACAGCTGAGGACAGGCGAGAGCAGGCAAGGGCGCCTAGTCTCTGGATGGCACTGACCAGGACACAGCCTTAGCACCAGAGCCCGAACACAACCAAAACTTCGGCTTCCAGGATCGCGGTACTTAGGCGCGTATAGATCGTTTACGGCAAATATTACAGGCTTTGTGACGTGTGACCGCTCACATTCGGATCTATGTGCAAGTCGGGATCTCCAGTCCAGTGCAGCTTCTCTGGAGATAAGGTAGATTTCATAGACTGTCTTGGGCCTTTGCCTCTGCACTGGATGGTCAGTTGACGGCCCTGTTGCAACTGTAGTGCTTTTGAGAGTCAGTGCGGCTTTGTTGTCATCCTTGGTGTCTTGGGTCCGGGGTTTACATTCACTACCTTCCCTATTTAAATAGGCAATTCCGTTCATGTCTTCACTTTGCGCTTGAGGTTTTAGGGTTTAGGGGTTGGGGTTTCGGGTTTGGGGTTTGGGTTTAGGCAGCGGTTTAGGGGCATGTCATCTTCCGCAGGCAAATGCGTAGATGAAAAGAAATTGGTTGCTGGTCTGACGTACCAGAGCTCCTTTGCATAAACATAAACACAAAGTGGCTTGCTACTAGAAACAGATCCGTTGCTGAAGATGCGCTCTAGACCTTCACACTCAAGCTTGCATCCAAGGGACGGATGGCACACTTGGTCAGGACGCCAGTTTTCTGCCGAGTAAGATCAATCACAAGAACTGCAGGCATTGAAAGTCCCCAAAAAACCAAACTTCGAGCAGGTCTCCTGAAGCTTGATCATGCGCTGCGCTGTCGCAACGTTCGCCCGCACAATGCTGCCAGCCTTTGGCCATTAATGTTTCAAGCATTGACCGCAGTGAGAACTTGTTCCACGCCAGGCTCCGGGCAACAGCCCTGATCTCGCTGACACCGGAAGCCTGCACTGAATTCCCCAAGCTTCTCAAACACCGTTTCGTTTCTGAAGACATGTTGCAGCTGTTAGAGACGTGTGAAACCGTGAAACATGTGCCCTCCGTGATGCACCTGAACATCCTGGTCAGGTGCACCTCCAGCATTGCAGCATTGGAAAAGCATGAAAGGCGCGGATCCGTGAAGCCATTGGGCCATTGGCTTTGTGTGGCTTTGTCAGAACATGCTTATGGGCCCCGTGCTGACAGAGCGGAGGGGCTCTGAGCCGATCTCCCGGCAGCGTGGACTTTCCAGAACTGGCAGAGTGCAGAAGAGGCCGGAGAAGGATCAGAAGAATGCTTAAAGAGATCGAACGTGACAGCCCGGATAGCAAAAAGCGTTCGACCGAGCAAAGGGGAATGATGACGCCTGAGCGCATAATGTGTCTGCTCAGCGGCCAGGCCTCAGGGCCACAATGCAAAATCACATAAAATCACATCTGACCACAGAAAAGTCACAAATTAAGATCTCTCGTCAACTTGTCGTCAACTCGGGAGGTCTCTTGGAATCGAGCGGGGAGGGAGAGGGAGGGAGACAGAGAGAGAGAGAGGAACAAAGAAAGGAACAACGAAGAGAACAAGGTCAGGAACAAACCAAGGACCACAGAACGGAGCATAGAAAGGAAAGAGAGTCTTTTAGCCGCGGGACCGACTTGTCGACCTGCACCTTGCAGGGTGTGCCACAAGCGGTTCTGAACGCTCTTGAATGGACGAGAACTTCTTCGCCGCTTGAGCCTTGGGTGCAGTGAGGACACGGCCTGCGGCTTTCGCTCTCAGAGGCCCCCCAGGACCAAAAAACGGACCGCATTCCAAGCACGCCTGTCGCGGGAGCCGGCCTGGATCCTCTTGCAGGTTTTCAACGATTACAAGCGCCTACCAGTAGCTTAGAAATTCGAATCGGCACGCAAACCCCGTCCTGGCGCCTTTGGCTTGTCAGGAGGGCGTGGCACCAGAGGCTCCTTCAGACATGCAGGATGGTCAAGGATGCCCATGCACACTTATCTCAACTACTCATTTATGCACAATGACTCGATGTCAATTTACGTTGTCTAGATGACTTGCGAGATCTGGCGACAAAGAAGCGTCCTTCGGTCTGGCGCTCGCTCCTGGCATCGACGCCTGCAGGCTGAATGATGTTGCAAAGATCGGGAACTGCCGACGAAAGCCATGTGGACACTGCAGCCGGGCGGATTGCATCCGATCACATAACAATCAGGACTAAGAATCCTCAGACATCGGAGATGTGCCACTTCGCTGACTGACCACACATTCCTTGTTGTTTGGCCCCTTTATCTTGCAGAAGTTGTTTCGAGTGGAGGCCTGAGCCTCGCGGAGCTGCTGCAGCATATACCTCCACGAAAAGAGGCTTTTGCTCTCTTTTGGCTCTCTGAACAGACTCCTTGATTTCTAGACTTCTGGGAGTCTCGTGGGCATTGGTAAGGATCAAACCCAGGAAACTGAAAGTTTTCATCGCCATACAGCAGCTTTGGCCAAGACTGGCAGCACGGGTTTGGAAACGCTCAAACTCCCTGCTAATCTTGGCCAGAACTTCTTTGTATGCCCGTGCACGGCAGCCAGTCTGCCGGTGCTTAAGAGTGCGTCAGACGGCAAGAGGCAGTCGGGAATATGACTGTGCCCAGCTGTTTGAGTGGACACAACTCGTGTTGTTCTTGTGGACAGCAACTGCGAAGCAGATAGGGGTTCGGCTTAGGGCTTTGCCCTTGTTTCCTTGCGCCCTTGCCGAGATGCATGGCCGAGTTGTCTGATTTCTTCGCTCGCTGGGTGCCGTCAGGTCATTCCACACGTGCAGACCAGGCTTGATGTCTCCATCTCAAGTGATAAGGTCTTGGAAATAAGGCATTGTAAAAACTCAGTCAGCAACAGGAGAAGAAGCACTGTCTGGAAAGTCTAGTGGGCACTGGTAAGGATCATCCGGAGCTTCGCGCAGCACATCCTGCAACGCTCACAGTAAGCGGAAAGTGCAGAGCGCCGGACAGCAATGCAAAAATACTGCAGGGGCAAACAGACGTTGATCCTGTATAAGATCCTGAATGCGCTGCTGCACTTTGTGCGTCTCCAGATAGTCCTACACAAATGGAGATCTGCAAGGTCCCTCATACCCGCAAAGCTGGACACGGCCGTTGTGTTGTGCATGCCCGTCAAACTCTCCTGAACACACCTCGGGCTGCAGCACAGGAACTGTTAAGCAAAAGCAGTCTTCACTACATAAACTGTCATAGACTACTTGTGATTTGAGGCATGCGCTGGGAGTCTTTGGCTTTCGCCTGTACACCACAGAAAATGGTTTCAACTCTTCGCCATACGAGCCTCAGAACTAAGAAGGCTTCCCGAAAGCAAGAAGCCGGCCTTGTGCCACCCGTCTCCGTGTATCTGAAGCTTGACCTCGCAGCGCATCGGTGCTTAGGAGGTCCGGGCGTGGGCGGTCTGCGGGGCTTAGGATGCTTTAAGGATGGCTTCGGAGAGCGTCTGAGGGTGCAGTCTTCAACAATCTCCGGAACTTGGAGGCTGGCGTGCGTTGGAGTCCCGTCCGGTCTTCGAACAGGAATCGTACACGTGGTCTGGCAGCTGCAGCGAATTTAGCAGTTTGGGCACGTGTTTTGGCCATTGGCGGCACATCGAATCAAACTGAGCGAAAGAGGCAAAGAGTTCAGAAGCAGCAAGAAACAAGGACGCTTGTCTGGCGTCGGGCAAGTCATGCGAATGATGGATCGATTCAGCTCAAGGTAAGCCTCCCTAAACCCGACCTTGAGCCACAGACCCTGATCCGTTGCACTTAGGGCCCAATCAAATCCAAGCGCAAGATTGCACAAGCCTCGGACTTACCATCCTCTGGCAGCAGCTGACTGGCCAGCTGCTGGTAAACGGACACCTGAAATGCAAAATCAATCCGAGCAGTGTTATTAGGCGCTGCATGGGCCACGCAGGGCCAGTATATGCCACCATGGTTGTCCAACTTCGTCCTTTTCGTTAAGCTTTTTGCGGGCTTGGCGAGATTGGCGAGAGTGGCGAGCTTGGCGAGCTTGGCCAGCTAGTCAGAGCAAGAGATGTGCAAACTGGCAAAAAACTCCACGGCTCTTCGGCTGCAAATGGCGACATGAGAGTGGAGAGCTTTGCCCTCTGCGACCCTGACGGATCATGCGGCTGAACCGTTGCTGTCATTGACTGACACTTTAGTTTCTCAGTTGCTCAGACTAAGAGACCGTAGTTCTGTCTGCAAGTATGGATATCTGGCAAGTTCTGGTCACTGACAGCACAGTCAAGAGAAGCCCACACTGGACGAAGTGCCGCACTGTCCTCAGCCAGTTGGCGTCAAATTCTCAGCCCCAAGTGTTGTTCTTAGGTTTAGCCTCTAAGTTTCCAAGCCTGCTGCCCATGTGGCAACGGATGGCCGCACCAACTTTGCGGGACAAACATCTCACAAGGCCTGTCGAAGAGCATGCACTGATCCCTTTCAGGGTCACGCAAGTCTCGTAGAGAGCGTGAAACCCACAAATAAGCACTGGCAAGCCAAGACCGCCCAAGCAGCAGACTTCAAAAGCGTAAAAACGGGTGTAAGCAAGCATTAAGGGGTTGAAGACTACAGCGACTTGTCGAGCTTTCATGTGTCTCGTCTCAGCTTGACAGAGGGACAAACATCCGCAAGAGCGACAGCCGTGAAGGCTTTGGAGCACTCACAAGTGTAGACCGGTGGCAACCATGTTGTGGGACTGCACGTAGGCCTGGGAACTACTTGAGCATTTGCACGTGCCCGGACCATCCTTCTCAGTCGGCAACAAGCATAAACAAGCCAAACCAACCTCCAACGCCGAGAGCAAACGGTCCTCCCCACTTTCGAGACCACCACCCTGCAGCCATTCACAGATCACAGGCTACGACGGCACCGCAAGGAAAACGGGACAACCAAATGACAACATGGTGGCGCTGCTTCCCCTCCAAGGCCTGGTCCGGCTCGTGACCTGTAGGCTCGTCTTGACTGTTATCTGCTGTTCATGGCTCTCCGCTTCCGTGGATTTTTCGATACAACGTATACAAGCAAAAAAACCAGTGCGGAGAGGGGGCCCGAGGTTTTCATCCGTCGCAGTTGTTCTAAGAGGTGCTGAGCTTGCTCCACCTGCGGAAAACACAGAACGTGCGCAAACCCATTTACGCGGCACGCTCCTGCATTTGTGCCACGTGCGAGCTTCTAGTAGCATCTTGTGCCATTGCTGCAAGCTTCAAAGCACACGGAGATGGCGGCTGCCTGATCGTTGACCTGCAGACGTTGGTCTGCTCATTTTTGCATGCCGTCGATGACAGAGACCGAGACTTGATGGAATGACACATTGACAGCAGTTCTTGTTTATGCTTGTTTGGACCAGGCCTTCTCTGGGGCGAAGGCCATGCTGGCATGTGGAGTGCTGAAGACCCTGCGCGGTGTTTTGCTGCATCGCTCACTACAGAACTGGCAGAAAACGGCCTTTCAAGCACAGGAGATTGGATTCTTGATCCGCTCTGTGGTATCCTCAGGCAGCTCAGTCATAGCCCCCAGCATCAAAATGCCGAAGCAGAATCTCGGTATCCGGCAGCGGTTGCAGATGCGGATCTGTTGGGAGGTCGGCTGGGAGGTCCTGACGTGGCACAGGGCTCCAAAGCCCCCAAGTCGCGGCATCGTCTGCAAGATCATGACTGCTCATACTTTCAGGTGGCCTTCTTTGCGGAAACCATCAGAAAAGCATCCATTAAAATTCCTCGGAGCAACAGGTATTGAGATGCAATTGAATGGCCATGTTTGAATGCCGCATGTACTCACACAATGTGCAACATGCACCCCAAAGCAAGCATCTCCCGCCTGCAATGATGCCATTATGGATTGAGTATGTGAATGGCACCACCTCGACAAGATTCAAGCAGCTATGTGGCTATGTGGCAGTGCATTCTTGTGACTGTGTCACTGTTGCATGACACAAGGGCGAGGCCGTGATGGTCAAGAAAGAAGGGATAGCTGCCCGCAGATTGTCCCAGTCTATACCTGCAGAGCACTCCAGTCACTACATCCCTCACCCCGGCAGTGTGTGAGGCCGCTGTGCGCCTCTGCAGGGCGCCATCATGAAGGCTCCAATCAGAACCTGCCGCGCGCGGGGCAGATTGCAAAACGAATTTCTGCCACCAGACTACGGGCGCACCAGAGGCACCGAAGTGGCAACCCGAGGTATCGAGCTCAGCAAAGGGGTCAGAAAGGCCTTGTTCGTATCAGATTCACTGAGAAAACAATCCTATCGGTCTTTGTCGAAGACACTCAGCCTCATGCGGACACAAGAAACAGACCAGAGACCACCAAAGCGGACAGGCCTGTCCTCGCACCCTGGCAAAGTCCACAGTTCGGCTGAATTACAATGCCTTGGCTATCCTCTGCTCAATCGCGCTGCCTTGCCTCGACAATGCCAGCACTGCTCCTTGGTGTTTGCACAGTGCAGAGGAACACTTCCCAACCATGTCAAGTTATTTCCGGGCATAAGGTACCAGTAAAGGAAAATGAACTGAACGAGTTGCAAGTGTTTTTGCCTGCTTCAATGTCGAAGATATGCCCGGGAAAGCAGATGAAACCACTTCATGGTCATGATGCACTAGGTGCAGTTGAGGAACTCGTTGGCAATGATGACAGGACTGGTACCCATAACTGCTCCCGACCTCAGAACTCATAATCGAAGGAAAACGCAAGAGCATGTTGGCGGCAGATGATTGGAAAGCCATTAAAGATGTCTTGGCATCCGTCATGGTGGCGATGGCAGCACTGGAGAATATGCATTGACTCCTGGCAGAAGCTCTGATCTCGGCATGTCAGAGGAGGAGTGAGGTGCAGTGAGGTGACGTCTGGCTCCTGGGGACGTGCCCATCTTGCAGAAGTCCTGCAATGCCCATGAGTCCGTACCTCAGTCTGCCATGCTGAGTTCTTGCGCACTCTTCTTGCCCCAACAAGGATTGTAGGAACAAGCGCAGAGCCGCATGCAATTCTAATTCTGTCCTGTTCGTAGCTTAGGATGATCTACCATCCGACGTGTCGCATGACAATCCCGGTGGTGCGATGGTTCAGCGGTCAAGGCGACAAAACAAGAACGAAAGGCTGGAGGGTAGCGGGGTGAGGGCTCTGAAGGTTCGAGCCGTTAGTCTGAAAGGCCCCCTTTTCAACTTCGGAGCTACCGTGGGGAGCTCTGAGCCACTTCGGTGGATTCCAGGGGCCGGGCTGCACACCCGCCAGATCGAAGAGGGCAACAAATAGCAGCACCTGGCTACAAGATTGGAACCGGTGAGAAGCAGCAACGAGGCAAAGTATGTAGCCGAGAGCTCGGCCATGCTGCCCAGGATCATTGCATGAAGCTTGCCACTTCCTCTCCAGAGTGCCACGACTACGGCAGAGCACGTTCGCACACCAGCAGCCCATAGCAGCCACTAGCACCACGTGCCTGGATCCCAGCAAGAGAAATCCAACAGGAAGCCAGCATCATACCTGCCATGACCCGGGCCAAGGCAGTGAAGAGAGGGAGGTGAGCATCGCGCTTCCCACCTCGGAAGGCTGAATACACCCACTGGTGCTTCTGAAAGCCTGGGAGAGACGGGTGGAAGACAACGGGAGATACTGGGCATAGGGTGCAGGAGAATGACAATCGATTGTTTTAGGGCAAGTGTTGGGAGCTGTGACAGTCCGCAGCTCTCCCAAGCTCTCCCCCCTTCCCAAATCTAGGCAGGCCAGCACCCTCCCCTCCCAAAGGAATGATATACAGATAAGCCAAGGAAGCTGCCCAGTGCTCCACGCGCAGATGGACATGAGGCAAATGCCTCGCAAGATGCCGATGACCAGCCCAGCAAAATGGGTCACTGCATCTTACTCACACACGCTCACATTGCCGGAACCTGCCTACAAGGAGAGCCCCGTGCAGTCTGCTGACCAGCATGGCCGAGATCAAGCAGAACCTTGATCGAACAAAAGCTTGCCCAGCGCATTTCGGTGGACTTTCCGAGAGCCGAACCCCATAAGGGCCAAGTATAGCTGCTTGTTTGACCTGGCCCGAGGGAACACAAGTAACACAACCCAAAGCTCGACAACACAAGTATCAACAAGTGAGTCGTGCGATCCGAAAGCTTGGGGCAAGGCCATCCTACATCGCCCAGCCTTAGATCGGAACGTGTTTGATGACTTGGCAGCATCCAAAGACCACTGCACCAAGCGGCGTCACCAACGTGTTCGGCGAAGCCACAACCAAACCCATCACTTGGAAGCCAATAAGCGCCTCGACAAGCGTTGTGTCTGTTGCACACACTACATCCATTGCAAGAAGCTCATGGCACATTTAAGGTGTAGTGTTGATTTCCCAAGACCACGTAGTTGCTGAGTTCTGTGAAGAGGCAAACTTCTAGGAGGAGGAGGAGGAGGAAAGCACATCTGCAGAACATGTGAAATTGAATGTTATGAATGCAGGGCGTCCAACGAATTGAGGTTCTCACACTTCGTCAAACCAACAGCGATGGCGAAACATTGCACAGCTCACAGTTCATTGTGAAAAACATGTGAGCCAATCATCAGCAAGTATTTGGCCCTTGCCCTTGGCGTCCCAGGAGCATGTCACTGTTCCCACTGTACCAGAGACAGGCTCAGTGCTGCGATGATGCATAGCTTGGAATTGGTGTGCCGAAGAAGGTGCACATGGAAAGGGCTTCGACAAGGTGGGAGGAGCTCTGAAGCTTCTGTCGGTAGGTTAGAACCCGGAGCACTGAATATGCAGTTCCAGGGCCGAACTCCACTTGGCAAAGCCTCGATCCTGGTTTTCTGAGGACGGCAACTGGCTGGACGAAGTTCTGAGAGGATGCAGTGCCTAACGTTGTCCAGACAAAGCCGGCAAGTCGTCAACGGGGATGCATCTTGAGAACCATACCAGACCAGTCTCAACAGAAGTCCGCCACCGAGCCACAAGTAGAAACCTGATGCCACAAGTGAAGGAAATGAACTGATAACTGATAAAGTTTTCCCAGCTGCCGGACGCCAGTGAGCGTCGGACACATCAAGCACCAACACTAGGAGTTGGTCAGTTGTTAGCAGACACCCACGGACACTTACGGGCATCAGACCTTCTGCGATGCTGCCAGGGATAGAGCAACCTACCACAAGACCGGCAGGACGACATTCCGCCAGGACAACCCCAAGCTTACTGCCACCTTACTCGAACTCCTCTCGCTACACGGTCTACCACCAGATCTTAGTGGTCCATTGCGGATTTCCACGCCGAAGATGGCAAAACGGTTCCGAATGAGAATATGATCTGGAAGGAACAGCACCAAGCACGGTGCAGGAGCTGGGAAGCCCGAAGTGCTCCAGCTTAGTCTGAGGGGATCCGAGAAAAAGTCCTCAGATCGAAGGAGGCGGGTCCCAAAAGAACAGGCTCGGGAGAAAGATTCAACACAGGAGAGGTGTGATGTCCGGGCAGACCGAAGCCGGAGAGGACTTTGCGGTGGAAGCATGAGACGTAGTACCCCCGCATCCGAGGCAAACGAGACAGTTAATGCCGACACATATGACTAATTCGATGCCGTCCGGCCGCGCGGATGACACCACAGAATGCATTTGGGCCACAGCCTTTTCCGCACACATCCACGGGGCAACGAAGCAAATAGTGGTGTGACACTAGACATCTCGAGGGATTGGTGTGCTTGTGAAAGTGCGGCTTGCGGCAAACCATGGCAGCCGAAGGAAAGTGTTTATTGTGAATGCGCAAATCATGCTGCCAAGCTGGGGCCCAGCATTTCGGATCTTGTTGCCTGAGGGGCCGGCATACAGGCACATGGCCAAGCTGGCCGAGCGAAACAGTTCGAGCGATGCGAACATGTGAAAGCACTGCAAGCACGGATGCCGACATGACAACTTCAGGATGAGCAGTTTTGAGTGCCCACACGAGCTAGGGCAAAACACACGCACACATAAACAAACATGCAACAGCCAAGAAGTCTCTGATTGCCTGGAATACGCCAATGGCCACAGTGATTGCCTTTTTCAAGTGCTCCGAAAGTACCTCAGCCCAGCCGCAGACTGTCTACACAATGGGGCTGATGGGGTAACGATGAGGTTCCAGCTGTGGTGACGATCCACTGGCAAACTCCCAGAACAGCCAGCAACCTGCCAGTCAGCGTCTTGTGAAAGTATGTTTGGCACCGTTTTGCACCCCGTTGCACCGCGTTGCACCCCGTTGCACCCCGTTGCACCCCGCTGCACCCCGCTGCACCCCATTGCCTCCCAAAACATCTGGCATTGAAAGGCGGAGCCACAACAAGAACTGTATCTGACTGTCACTATCTGCGAAGGCGAGCGGCAGCAGCGCGGCGCCGCTGACGAAGCAGCAGCTCAGCGCCTGCCATGATGGCACTCTTTATTACTTTCCATCACTCGTCCCCTCGGAGAGACTCTAAACACTGGAAATTCATGGAAACGCTGAAGGCAGTCCTGTCCAAAAGTGACGTGGAAGGACCGGCAGATGCCAAAAGAAAAGTACCTCAAACAAGAGGCCACCGTTGGCAAACTTCGCTGACATCCACTGCTTACTGCGCACGCGTTCAGACCCATCCCAGGCATTAGGCCCAACGGAGCGTCACCTCACGAACGTCACATTAAGATCATCTCACGGGCAGCGAAGTCAGGGCGCGAAGGCACTGAGTTCGCGGCTAGACAAGGCAACTACAAGGCAGCCGATGGCCGACGACACAGCCGTTGCAGTCATGATAGTCTCCTGAAGGGGGTGCAGTCAACAGCTGACAATCACCGCATAGCACTGCTCTCCCGGTCCGTAGAAATCTGGCTGTCAGGATCTGCGCTGCCCAGGATTACGGGATTGACCACAAGAATATAGCCTCGAAGTTGCAAAACCGTCTCTCTGCAAACCCCAGCTGCTCTTAGGACCTAGGATCCGTACACATAGTCATCCAATTGATGAAGCCAGCGCGGACCTGCAAGCTTTTTTAACAAAATCTTTATCGGCACGCCTTGCCAAGTGCGCCTCTGTCTGTAAAGTCGATCCTTTTTCTGTAACCTGGCAAGCAAGGCCAAGCGCTGAAGACTTCAAATATTCATGTGAGCTCGTGACTCTTTACACAGACCATCACCCTCCCATGCCTCATTCCACGTGACGACTCTCGAATGCTCATAAGAATCTCGAACACATGTAGTTGAGCGTGAATGCACAAAAGCTGCTGCTGACGAGTGCTGATCAATGATCAAGATTTTCTGCATCTGCTGCTTAAACAATCGGAATACGAATGGTCAGGACATCCCATCTAGCCGTGCGTTTCATATAGACACATCAGCAAAGGCTGTATTTCATCCCACGTCACCTCTATGGTTTTGTTGGATGGCTTTGAACCCCCTGCACCCCTCCAGATCAAAGCATCACAAACGACCGCACTGCGTCGTCAAGTAGTAGAAAGGTTAAGATACGGTGGCTACAAGCCCCAAAGAGTCGGGCCTTAAAGAAGTCATCTAGCCGCTGCGACCAGGTTTTCACTCCTGATGAGCATTCTTACATGCGTTCTCATGCACAATGACATGATGCTGCCAGCTTGTCACTTCACGCGTGTCCTTTGTTGATGGGGGAGATTTGCGAAATATCTTTCTCATCCTCCAGACAGGAAGCACATCTGAGACTGCCTGGTCGGGTCTGTTCAGAAGCTCTCGCCTTCGTTGCAGCTTCCAGAACTGCCTGCAATCTACCAGTGTGTACTCAATGCGAATCTGAAACACTGCGACAACGCACAAGCATCCTTTGCATTGCACCCTTCGCCTCTGGCAGAGCCGCCAAGGCCTTTAAGTTGCTCTTGGAATCATCGGCTCGCATGTCCACAACTGCCTTGTCCAAACACTTGGAGTTATGCAAACACGATGGTAACATGTTGCAAACTGCACATTGGGGCTCATTGAGAACTCGGCGCTGGCTGAACAATGGCACAGCTGCGGCCAGCACAAAAACCGAAAAATGCTCAAGTATACCCTCTAAGTCTGTCACTGACTTAATGACTTAATGGCTTTCGTCAAGCATGCGCTGGCAGTTCGTTCATGTTGGTGTCTTGGTGCTACAGCTACTCAAACGAGGATGAACAAGGAAGGACCATGCTTTAAATCTGGCTGATCTCCTTCCAAACTGAGCCCAGCTGACAGTGAGTTCAGGTGAATGTGGTTCCATGTTTTCTTCTCAAAGCCGATTCAATGACGCGAACGACACTTCGTTGCACTGGCAGTGTCTCGTAAAGGGCCTCTACATGGGCTGGCTTCACACCAGGATCCGGCAGCACGAAGGGGTGATTGACCTGCAACAAGAACTTTCGTGTAGTTGTAACAATAGCATTAAAGCAGAACTACTGGAATCGCCTGTCGTCGTTGTAGTTCTACACATAAACAATCATAGCAACAGTTGGCTCGCTGTTCCTCGACTTAGATTTACTAGGGGTTTACCCAAGCCCACGGCCCAACCATGACAATCTCCAAAAATGGGAAGCGATGAAAAAGCATTTGCCTCGCCTCCAGCTTGATCTGCCTACGCACGTTGCCGACATGAATGGCTAGCACCGGCTTGGGCGGGAGGTTGGCAGCCGTCACCACAGTGAACTGCAGCATGGCAAGGCGTTGTTGCAAATGCACATCGCGGGCGCCAGAAGGAGCAGCTGAAAAGCAGAAACATGCGGCCTCCATGGCATGCCCGGCATGGCCCAATCTCAGGCATTGCTGCAAAGCTGCCGGTGTCGGGAGATTTGCACTGATTCTGCCAACATCGTGACAAGAGTTCTGCAAGGGCGAATGAAGACATGACACACCTTTCCACGCACCACAACTCTCGGCGAAAGTCGATACGTGGACCACCTGACCCTTACTTGCACATCCCGACTCATCTCCGAATGCAAGGTCCGCACACTCTGGAGAAGCATATTCGCTTATGTACTTTCACCTAGATGAATCAGGTCAGCACAGGCCAGGTCCCATGTCCTACTCCGGCGTCACATCTATGACGTTGGGGCAGGAGCAGTGAAAGTGCACTGGCTATCAGTTTGTCCCTTCACTGAAGCAGTGCCCCAAATGTGCCCCCGGGGAGCGTGGGGAGACACAGCGCCCAAGCCCTTCTCGAGCCACTTCACACAGCCATCTCCATGGCAATTTTTCCTTCACGCACACACACAGGCTAGCAAGGCGCTAGCAAGGCAATGGCCTAAACATCCAGCACGTAAACGCGTAGTCTTAGGGACGAACCATGCGGGTTGTAGCCAACCAGTTCGAAATCTGAGGCGGTGAAGCCATCGATGTCTTTGACCTGGGCAAAGGCCACATGTTTACTGACCGGACGAGACACAGGCCAATACAGTTCATATACAGGGGCCTCTGGATTGATCTTCAGGACGGGAAATGGCCGAGGAGTGCGTTCAAGCTGCCTGCAGCTAAACGTGCCCCGTAGGTGGCGCAAAGGCGAGCAAAAAAGGGCGCGGACGTCTTGAGAGGCTCTACATGGTTCTGGTACACGTGAGTGTTGCCCAGCGTGTGGACCTCGTGAGAGGTTAAAGCCGAAGACAAGTGTGATGGCCAAGCTCAAACAAGCTCTTAAAAAAAAAAAAAAAAACGGGCTAAGTTGACAACAAACTCGCCAGGCTTCAGGCCGCAAACCTCAGTTGGCATCATCATGCCCCTTCTTCATTGCACCTAAACTGTCTATAATAGGTAGGAGCGGGCCTGAGCAACCATACAGGTCAGCAGAGAGTAGGAAGCGATGTTGAAGGGCACCTTACGCCGCTCGTGGCTTCGCTCATGTGCAGGCTACCACCTCTTCGAACCGATCGCCCAAGACCACGTAAATCTGGCTACAAAACGGGTGCTGCACCCCCAGGCCCATGTCACATGAGCGCTGGTACATGAGGCAGGACCTGTTGGGCAGGGACAAGCACACAAGTGTTTGTCAGAGATGGACCTGTTGTTACACTCATTTTTAACACTCACAAAAAAAATCACACTAAGCCAATCACAACTCACCGTTTGCCACGTAGAATTGGCAGAACCTGTTGGCTGTGTTAACTACCAGCTTCTTCGCTCTGCGACTTTGCGTTCATGGCATTCTAACGAACATGCCCGGGCTGCATGTGGCACGGAGGCAGTGCCATCAAGTGGAGATCTGCAGGGTTCCACGCAGAAAGCAGGATGCGACGGTCCTCGGTTTTTCTGAACAAAGCAAACTTGCACTTTTCTCTGAGCTCTAAGGCGAGAACTGTCGGGTCTTCTTTTATCTTCCGAATGCACTCGGCCAATTGGTCCACTCCCTGGCAAGGGTGTGATGCAAGCCATACCTTTCTTTCACTGGCTCTGAGTGCACCTGCCCTGAGTAATCAGAATGCATGTCGACATACTTCGCGCCAAAATGTCGCCACCTTTGTGCCGAGAAGTCAGCAAGCGCCCACGCAACACAACGTCGGCACGCGAACGGGTTCTCAAATCACGTCGCGTTGCTGGAAGCCATAGACTGGGCCAAGATCGCCCTCCTGGAAAAAAGAAAGAAAGCTCTGCAGAATATTGGAATGAATGCAGAATCATGAGAATGAAGCAGTTGCGCGGAACTTGTGCAGATGTGTGCGGATGTGTGCCTCGCGGTGGCCAAGGCCACGCTTGTCCAAGAACTCGCGCGAACCGTTTGCCTCCCAAATCCTGCCAGCAATACTCGCTCGGGGCCATCATGTCACGTCAACACAAACACAGGGGCTGCGGTCTCCTTACGCCCTTCTCCGTCAAGTGATTGGCATTCGTGTCACCTTTGATGAACCTCACCAGCCATGTTATAAACCGAAAGGCTGCCTTACAGGGCCACGAAGAGTTGTCCTGGTGCACTCAGGCCCGTTCCACAGCAGCTCCTCGACCACCCCCCGCCAAAAAACGCGCTTCGTTGTCAATAGCGGGAAGGAGTTTCCTGACAGAGGGCAGCAATCACTCACATGAGCGCTTCCTTGCGTATCTGAGAAGGCTGCTCAAGTTGAAACGCATCTGTTGGCCAAACATGGAGCGGGTTCCGACCTTGTCAAAACACAGACTCGAACACGCAAAAGTCTTCTTGTTCTATCGAAATTCGTGAGCAACCCTAAAGTCCCGGTCAAGCTGCAAAAAGCACATAAAACACTAGGATGCTGACACCGGTCCTGTCCTCCATGTGAACCCCTTCTTGGATGATTTGCTGGATGGCCTGCAAACCGAAAAAGATCCAGAAGACAAGTAAGCAAATATGACATCGTTGCACACCATTCCAATTGCTACATCCATATTCGTATACACATGGCATACACACATTTCCAAGACTTCTTCAGCCTCTCGGCCTCAGCAAATTACTTGTGACAATTGTTTCAAAAGAAAAGTTATATGGTGTCGAACCAGTCCACCCAGGCAGTGAAATAGTGCCAAGCACAGTCAACACCGGTCCCCAATGGCACCGAACCCGAGGAGCATCAAGCCTTCAGGTACTGATACTCCTCATGCGCAAAAGCTCCAGCACCTCACTCTCCGACATGATTCCTATGATCTCCCTAGCGTGAAGTCGCGACGAAATCTGCGAGAGGGCTTTTCGAGGGCTTGGCCACCCGCAGCTGCAAGCGCCGCTGAAGGCTGTTGGACCTTGCACTCATACGGTGCAGTAGCTGCCAGTTGCCAGTCTTGCCACGACGGCACTGAGGTCTTCGCGTGCAAACTGCAAACTGAGCGAGTCTACTGTGGTTGCTCTATGGCCAAGACCATGGCAGCTGATGCAGTAGTGTAGCCGGCAGCACTGCCGTCCTGCATGTTGCCCACATCATCACCATCATAACCGTAGCCATCACCATCATGAGGAAATTCTGAAATGGCATTGAGCGTCCAAGTTTCATGGCGAAACATTCGACTCGCCTCTTTGCATGGCAAAGGACTGGTCGACATGCCATCAGATTTGAAAATTGTAAAGGGGAAGCGGGGTTGGGACCCAAAGTCATCATGCTCAAGTCAACGTTCTCTCCAAGTTTTTCTGGACAAGCATTCCGCACGTGGATGTGAGTCTGCGTCCTTGATGGGCTGCCTTTCGTAGATGACGAAATCAAAAGGGACGTCTGAAGCGCTGTGAGTTGTACTCACATGAACAATCCTTGGAAATACTCGGGAAGTCTCTTTCATGTTGCTGAGGTGATGCTGAAATCAATGCTATCCTGCCTTCACCTGGTCTCCCCTCCCTGCCAATCGCAGAAGTACTCAACTTTCATCTCCAAGAAGCTGGAACTCTTTCTCATCCAGTGATGGGAAAAATGCATCACAATCAAAGTCCTGACAGCATACTGCAGATTCTTCGTGGAAATGACGATGCTTCGAAGCCTTTGCCACTCTGGTCACGTAGAGGCGAATGCAGCAAGGCATCCGGATGGCCTGGCGCTCGGTGCTCTTTCGCAAACCTCGCTCAAGTCACTTTGCTTGGCAGCCTCCTGATATGCAGCTTGCCCGCCGATGACGAAAACTTCGGCAACATCACTCCGACCTGACAAGACAAGCAAAACCTATGATGTACCGTAGTGTTCCTCTTGGTATTTGTGGTTGTGTGGAACAGTGTGGACAATGCCCGAGCCTTCCAACATGTCCACTGCAGCACCAATCGACCGGGCCGTGAGGACTCCCTGCACAGTACTTTCTTACAATAGCTGCAACATGCGAGCAAATCACATTGACAGGCACTACCGATGAACAGAAAATAACGAGAAGAACAACTCCATGCTTAGGCAACATGAACGCAAGATGGCCTCGGGGTAGTTGGTTGGCTCTGGTTCGGATGTAAGAACCTGCAGAGAGGTCAAATAGACACGGACCTGTCCTATGCACGATGGTTTCAAAGGTTGCCTTCAATGGCTTACTTCACTTGTTGTTACAGGTCACAAGGCATGCTCAGGGCCTGACAAGATTCAAACGCCCCGTCAAGGGCCTAAACCGCTCTGGGATTGACTCCCACGTTTTGCCTCAAAAGTAACGGTCGGTTTCGACATGTTGCAAACAACTGCTTCATCAAGGATGCGACGTCCCATGATGACAGCGTTCTTCTTCCCATCTACAGACACGGCGGTTGTCACCTCAGCCAGCAAACCATGCCAAAATGCACAAAGCGAGGCACCATAGCAAGGTTGAGGTCGAAACCCGCTTGAAATGCGCCATGTCCTGTTTTTTGAAACACCAACCAAGCAAGATTGTCAACTAAAAGCCATGATATCAGCCGGATTGCTGAACTACGCTTATGTTCTGCGTTTCGCAAGTGCTGCTTGGATTCGCTTTAAACTACTCGTCTATTTGTGATTGCGTTGCCGATCGCGCCTCGGGAAGCTTCCACGGAAGGGTTCCATCCTTGCCAATGCCGCTTTTGTGCCTCAACATCTAAGCATAACAATGGCGAGATTGGGACATTACAACACACATTGTGTCATAACACGCAAATATAAACCTTTGAGGTGCGCACGTGGTGGCTACGATGAGCGACAACATTACGGGAGCCATTACGTTCACACCTGACATCGCCAGCCAGATGGGGCATGGCAATACCATTTGTTTGTGGCACAACAACACAGCAAAAAAAATGCATCCAAAAGAAATCAAGATGGCACGGGCGAAGCCTCGACCAAAATGAAGACACTCGCCCAGACGTCCAATACCCCACTGGACAGCCGATGCGTCATGTCACAAGGCCAAAGTTCTTGCAAACAACAGACCAACCAAAAATGCATGCAATTCTATATATATATATATATATATATATATGTATATATATATATATATGCATGCATACATACATACATACATACATACATACATACATACATACATACATACATACATACATACATACATACATACATACATACATACATACTGTGAGCAGGTCAAAGCATGCATGGAGTGCTTGCTTAGTGCTAGTGCAGCGTGTTGTTTTCCTTTGCATGTGTAGTTTTGCAATTCGTAACAATGCCAATGTTTTGGCTCAAGTACCGAGCTTGTGCCTTTGAGCACGGTAGTTTCGTACAGTAGCTCTTAGGTTGCTGTGCGGTCCGACCGGACGCACTCAGGCGTAGCTGCACAAGTGCTTGAACTCGCGAAGTCGTAAAACAGCGTGGCCGGGCTGTGATTGCATTGGTTTAGTGCAAGTCCAGTGCTGGTCGACTTCACAATTGGGGGCTGTTCTGGGAAACGTACAGCTCTTGTGCCTACGGCCCGAGTGGGCAAGCATTGCTTTGCTTGTCTGTCGCGGTCCGTGACCTGGACGCGTGGACTGTGTGCCACGCTTGCGGCCTGTTAACCAAGGCGCGGCGCTTCGTGTGCCACGCCTGCGGCCTGCTAACCAAGGCGCGGCGATGTCCGCAGAGGTTGCAGGTCAGGCCGAGGGCGTCACCCTCCTCGAAGCGATCGAGGGTGGTGACGTTCCCTATCCCGAGCGGATGAGCTACGTCGCTTGGCTTAAGTGGCGTAGGGAGACCGGCAGTCGTCCGTTGTCCAAGCGGGATGGGGTTAGCACAACGCCAGAGCAGGAGGCGGCTCTCTGGCGAAAGGTCATGAAGTTCCTCCACGACGCCGAAGGCGAGGACGAGGAGGAAGAGGAAGAAGAAGAGGACTCCGAGCTAGTCCCTGAGGCCTCGGGCGCTGGAGGCGACAGTCCGCCGCGGGTGGATGTCGGCGCCGCGGCAAGGGAGCTGGCCATGGTCCCTACCGGTGCTGCCTATGTCCCTGCTACGGCACCAGGGTCCCGCCCGGCGGGACCGTCTGGTCCGCCGTCGACAGCAGGTTCAGTCCCAGGCACCGCAGAGGGCTTGCAGGCGGAGCTGCGCGCGATTTTCCGTCCAGACCAGGAACCGGTCGCGGACTACTTGACGCGCGTTTCGCGGATAGTCCTCGCGCTCAAAGCGCATGGAGTCACGGTGAGCTCCCGTGACCTTGACGCCTTGAGCACCAAAGCCACCCTCCTTGCGGATGAGTTCTCGAAGATAGGCGGGGACTGGCATCCGACAAAGATGGTCCGTCGGCTGCGGACCAGGTTCTCGGTCGCGGCTTTGCGCGGTGGCGAGGACCCCGAAGACGCAGAGGAGATTCAGCGTGAAATCCAATGCATCGGGGAGCTTATCCTCGCGCTTGGGGGAAAGGAAAGCTCGAGCCAAGAGAAGGTTTGGAGCTCTCCGTCCGATGTGCCAGTTGAAGCCGTGGGGCCGCGTTCCCCAGGGCTCCCACAGCCTGCGACTGCAAGTGGGTTGGGGGTAAGTTTGGACCGTGGAGGTTTGCACACTGCCGAGGCTGCAGGTGGTCCTTCCGCGGCCCGTGACCTGGGCGCGACGGACGGCGATTCCCCTTTGCGCGCAAAGCTCGCGGCGCTGGAGATGGAGATAGAAGCCCTGAAGCGAGGTTCAGACGGCGGAGGTTCGCAGACCGGGTCCCAAAACCCGGCGGGCGATTTCGCCGCCGCACTCGCCGCCCAAACTGAAGCGCTGAAAGAAGCGTTAGCGCAAAGGGGCGGGCAAAGCTCCATAACGACGGTCAAAACTGACCTCACGTGGCCGACGCTGACCGACGACAAGTCGGACGCGCGAGACGTTGTCCTGTTCTACGAGGAGTTCGAGGACGTCTGCGCGCTCGCCAACAACTGTCGCGGTATGAGTGCGCGCGAGAAGCTGCTAGCGCTACGCGGGCGCTGCCGCGGCTCGCGCATGAAGACGTACACGAACGCCTACCGCGCAGCGTGGAAGTCGGGAGAGGTTCTCTCCGACCCACAGGCAGTGTACGACCGCATCAAGAACAAGCACTTGATGTTCGGGGAATCGCGGGAGGAAAGAGAAGTCCGCGTGGATGGTGAGCATGCCTCCCTCGCTAAGGGCAAGCTCACAGGCCACCAATTCGAGCCTTTGTTTGAGGCGTCGATCGCGGACCTTGAGGCGGTGGGTCTCGGGAAGACCCCACGAGAGTTGTACCTCTCGTACCTCCGCAAGATGCCCCCGTATCTCCAAAAGGAGATACGTAACGACAAGCGATTGTGGCCCGGCGACCCCAAGGACGGCGGGCTGAGAGGGCCGCAGACTTGGGAGGAGAGCCACAAGGTCGTCTTGGAGTAAGCAGCGCACCGTGCTGTTTCCCACTCTGTGTACTCCACGACCGGCTCTCCAAGCGCGGACCCGTCGGTCGCGCTAGCCGAGGCTCAGAAGGAGATTCGGAGCCTCAAGGCCGCCGCTAAGGCCGCTGCGAAGGGAGCAGCTGCCGCGGCCAAGGCTGGCGCGGATCAGACGTTTGCCGCTGCGTCGAAGGGAGCTGGCAAAGGGGCGGACAAGAAGATCTGCTTCCACTTTCGCGACCACGGGAATTGCCCGAAAGGGGATGCCTGCCCGTTCAGCCACGACAAGGAGCTTCGCAGAAAAGCTCTCGCGGCTAAGAAGGGTGACCAAACCTTTGCCACGGCGAAAGGCAAGGGCAAAGGGAAGGGAGGTGGGGCGCGGCAAAGCCACCAGGCACTGTTTGCCCCTTTTCAGCTGCGACATGGTCCACAATCTGACGACCTCAGGAGGGACGCCGGCCTTGCCTGCCAACTGGGCCGCGCCCTCCGGGGCTTCCATGTCCAACCCCTTCGCCGCGTTCAGCGTCCAGATAGGCAGCTCAGGCGTCCAGGCAGGCGTCTCAGGAGCCGCAGGACGCGCCGCGGTGCAGCAGCACGCGCTTCCGTTGAGCAAGGGTGGGCGGGACAAGTTCGCCACCCTGGACGATTTGCCGAAGGACTGGTGGAACCTGGCGGACAACGAGCCAGGAGGCTACCAGTACAGAACGGTAGTCCAGGTGCTCGACCGTAAGGTCGAGTGCATGCTCGACGGATGCGCCGGCGCGAACCACGTAACCGAGGAACTTGTGGTGGGCATGATGAACCGGGCTGCAGAGCTGGGGATCGGTACCGAAGATCCCGGCTTCCCGGTCGTGAGACTCGAGAAGTGGGTCCACCCCGAATATGTGCATGGCATTGCTTCGGGAGCCCCCGTTCCTCTGAAGGGGGCAGCAGTCTTGCGCGTCACGCTGCTGGAAGGCAGGACGGCGGACGACTGTCGCCCCAACACTGAAATTTTCGTGCGATGCAAAATCGCAGCCAGGGGGACGTCCGATTGGCACGGACTGATCCTCGGCGGCAGAGCATTGGACTGCGCCGGAAGGATGGGCCTGGGCTTCAGGCCGGGTCCCGACTTTCACGTCCTCGACACGCTGGGAATCAGAATGCCCAGGTGCGAGGATCACAGCAAGACCCGGAAGGACAGGGCCTACGCCTTCGAAGCGCGGTTGTCGAGCCTGGACGACGCGTCATGCACCGAGCCTGGGGGCGGAAGCCGGGAACTCCTCCGCTACGACGGGGAAGAGCCTCTCGAGCTCTCGCCAGGCGACGGGGTGCTGGTGCCTGTCGTGCGAGAGCAAGGAGTCTCCGCAGAGGGATCCCTGTCCGAGGTAGTGCTTCCGGTGGAGTGCGGGGTCGAGGCCGTACCAGGCCTTTGGCCCACAGGAGAGGGAAAGGGGTTTGTGTTGCTCGCAGCCCAAGAGTGCGATCACTCTCTCCAGCCGGGCGAGGTTGTTGCGGAAGTGCGTT